CCAGTTCTCTGGATGTGCAGGGTCATCTGGGCCATCCCAGTAAACGATATTTGGGTCATCATACTCCTTATACCCTACCGGGACCCTTTTTGTTGCCACAGGAGCTTCTGGAATTGCCTTTTCAACATCTGCACTGCCATTCGCAGTTATGACCGTAGATGTGTTCATTTCCTCCACGATAGTCTGGTCAGACGGTAGGTTCTCTGATGATGAACTAGGAATCGAGCCCTTCTCTGAGGACCTGGTATTGCCATTGTCGTCAGAGACTGGTGGAACGATAGTCGAGGCCTCTATAAACGAAGATACAACGTTAGGAGGACAAATAAAATTTAGGGAGCCACGATCCTACTTCATGCATGTATCGGGACTACATACTATCGCTCTCTTCCATCTTTGATGTTTGGGGAGGAGAAGACATCGTGGAACTTCCCCTGCGGGCAGCTTTCTGGCCCGGTGCTTAAAGGAGAAGTATGTATGTGTCTATCCAGATAAATTCCCCTGCCACTCTGTTGGCCAGCAACGATTGGATGCGTCTTATATATAGAAGGACGACGGGAAGACTGTGACGGGGTTAACGGCAATAACCGGTGGAGATTATGTATGTAGGGGAAGTAAGGGGGTATCTTGAGTTTGGAACGGAGAATGGTTTTGGAAAAGTGAGGCCGGCACTCAGAATATTTGTACGGAGTATGTATGTACAAGAAGAGAAGAAGGAGGATAAAAAAGTCTATCGATGGTCATCTAGACGAGCAGAAGTAAATGGAGAAGTAAACAGAGACGGGAGACTGTTTAAATATATCCGGGTCCCACACCTGGGGGTCAAGCAGCGGACTTCGAAGTCCATATCGCGAGGTGACCTGATGGGAGCTAGGCCAGATGGATTTTGTCAGCGCCGTGCATTGAGTTATGCATTCACAGCAGAGCTCAGATGGACACAAAAGAGGGCGGTATATGGACCTTTTTGCCTCTGCGGGTCGTTTGTGCGGCCCTATAGGCTAGTCTGATAGGAGCGGTGGTGAAACTTGTGGAATAAGTAGTTATCGGCCTAGAAAGTTGCCGAAGAAGCATGGATGTGCTCTGTCCGCACGTACAGAAACACCCAGGGAAGGGCCATTATTATGAAACCCAGCAAGGGCCTTGGCCTGCACATGGATATCCCGGATCAAGGTACATAAAAATTATTATTAATTATGCCCATGGCAGGCATAGCTATCATCGAGAGAGAAATGGCCGAACAAAGCATTGTTTCGTCACGAGAAAACCCCCCCCCCCCTTTTTTTTCTCTTTGACGAAAACAAGCGCATTGAACACATGCCTCGTGGTTCAAATTCATATGGCGGATCGGCAAAAACAGTTGCTATGAATAGCTCCAGCGTCTGCTCTCGCACCCCCTATTTCCTTCTTTTTTTTACTCCCTTTCCGTGTGTCCGTAGAGCAAGCGTGGAGATGGTGGCAGGACGGGAACGTCAGTCGGAACCTACGCACGGAAACGAGACTCCTCATAACGTGCACAAAGCGTATTTTATGCACATAAGTCGGCATAGCACAAGCTTTAGAACCCAGGAGCTCGTGTTAGTTAGTTTCTTTGTAGTTACTCAGCGCGCTGCCTAGATGGTAGTGCTGTCCACAGCGTGGTGATCTGCAAGGTCCTATGCCCACTGTCCTCCATAATCCCATGTCTCCGGCGGTGCAATGCTGTCATATCATGCTGCAGTATCTCAACACCCGAATATCCTCCAGGACTGGCGTCTCGACATTCGTCTTTTTGTCAGGCGTTGGGGTAAAGTTAGTTACGAGGTCAACACGAGAGTTGGAAGGATGGATCCATTGGAGGTTGCGGCCGGGGCCCATTACGGGCGGATGAGTCAGCAGGACCGGCGGAGTAACCTTAATCCGGAGCCTCTCCCGACGTCAACCTGCTTGAATGTGCCGCATAGCCGAAAGAAGGAACAAGAAGAAGGCGCCGAAGGAGTTATGAAGGTTGGTGATAAGGGATTCATATAGATATACGGAGTATAGATAATATATTGATGCAAGATAATGCACAACTTTTAATGATGAACGGGAGAAAGGCAGTAGTTTGGACCGACGACGAGAAAGCATAAACCTAAACTCCAACAACTGCAACGATTAGATTATTATATTATTAGACGATGGTGCCCTGGACCTGGTGAACATTCTTGAGCTGGATGTTTCTCCACAAAATGACTGATGACATGGCAAGAGCAAGGACGCCGACTCCTGCAACCAACATCCAGCGTTGACCCTCACCGTAGGCGGCGATGATGGCGTTGCGGATGGGTGACCCCACGGGGTGGCTAAGCTGAGTGGTCAGGGATGCATAGATCGCAGCAGCTTGATCCTTTGCATTAGCTGGAAGCAAAATCCCAAGCTGCTCCGGGATAGTGTGGCTCCAGATAGCCCCCGCGACGGTCTGGCCAATCGCTCCACCGATGTTGCTGAACAGGCCCAGCAAAGCCAGGACAATGGCTACTTCGCTGTGGCTTGCTGCTGCCATGACTGCTATCTGTTCGCAGATCTGTAGCGTGCCGGCAGAGATGGCAATGATGCATTGACAGACAATCACTAAGGAGATGTGAGAGCCTGGCTGGCGAAATATGATCATGAGACCGATTCCGAGTGCCTGGAGGGGAACGGCGGCGAGGGCAAATGGTTTAAAGCGCCCAGTTACGCGGATGATGCTGGACATTCTGTTAGTATATGCAATATGAAGTCGAGAGGTAAAGGCAAAAACAAAGGGCAATCCATTAAAAGGATGGGGACTTGAAGACTTACGCCCCAATTACAAGGGCCCAAATGCACCCTCCGATGTTGAAGATGTTTGCAATGTAGCCTGCATTGCGGACACTTTGGTTGTGGACAACTTGCAAGTATGACAGGAAGTACAAGTCCCAGCAGCTATAAGCTACAATTAGCAATGATAGGTAGCTGGACCTTAACACGGGAGGAAACCTTACTAGAAGCTAAGGAAGAGAGTTGCGCTCAGGAGACAGCCTCCAAGCACAGTTCTGTCAGTTAATAGATGGAAGGGTGCAAAGTGGACCTTGGCAAATCGAATCTCCCATATGGCAAAGGCAGACAAAGAGAGGCCTCCCATAACAATCATAGAGATCATGGCTGGCGACCTCCACTTCTCGGCCTGGTAAGTAGCTAAGTTTATCGGAAGAAGCAAGAGAGTAAGCCCGGCAACAAGAAGAATCATCCCGGCAACTGTGAAAAGAATTAGCCGTATAGCCTATGCATAAACATTGGTCAGGGCTGCCACCATACCATCAAACTCAATCGTGTAATGAACGACGTTTTGCCAGAAAGAACGGCCGGACCTGCCTGCTCTTAAGTATCCCATCTTCACAGCCTTGAAGCTACTGTGGAGAAAGATGGCTACCATTGGCAATGAAGCAACCGGGATGAGGATGGCAAAAGTGCCAAACGCCCACCGCCAGCCATAGGTCTTGAGGAATGCCTGTGCTAATGCAGGGCCAGCAAAAGTAGTGGCTATGAAAGGGCTGGTAGAGAATGCAAGAAGCCATCCTCGGTTTTTAAGGCTAGAGGTGTCTGCCAGAAACACGTCGAGAACATAGGCAATGCCATTATTACCAATCCAATAGAAGACCTATCAAATAGTCAGTTGAGGCGCAAGTATATTATTGCCGGGCTATTCACCTGAGCTGCTGCATATGCCTCGATGCAGTTGCTAGTAGCCATCATGATCATGCCTGTGTAAGTCTGGTTAGTATGGCCGCCTCCAGTGCAGGATGAAGGGCCTACCGATGACACAGAAGCCAACCATTAAGAGATATCCCTCTGTACGCCCCCAGATATCAATAATCTTAGAGACAGGAAGCTTCATGATCGCCCCCACGAGGCTTGACACCACTGAGATGGAGGACAGAAGAGCATGTTTCGAAAAGGCGCTGGTGACATAGGGGTTAAGGCTGTTGGCCATCTGCTGCTGCAGGGAGTTGACAAAGAAGACCACGAACACCCTGATGTAGCTGATTAGCCGGCTGCTCGAAGCAGAAGGAAGCAGATGTAGCACGCGTACCCGACATAGGCTATGATGAGTGACTTTCGAGACCAAGCTGCCGCAACGGCTTCGGCCTGCTTGACTCCAAACTGGATACTATCAGAGCTGGAGTCATCATCCACAAGTGCTTCTGTTGCAGCTGCATTATGAACGGGTGGAGGAAGGCTGTCAGAGACGGCACTACTATTCTTTTCCAGCATAGCAGACTAGGCAGTAATTTCCTATGCCAGGAATTGAGGCAGATGAATAGGTAGGTATTAAAAATAGGTTACTATGGACAGGCTAAAGAGGAGACTTGGGCTCTTCAGCAAAAAACGAGAGCTCTCATGTGAAAAAAACTCGCTATGGCCCTTTCAAACTGATAATTTGAGAAGAGGGTGAATATGCTTTATTTTGGCCGAGGGGGGTGGCCCTTTTCCTCCTCTGTGTGTGCGATCAGATAAGAGTTAGAAGCGCACGTCATGAACCGAGAAACAAGCTACGTCGGGTGTTGCCTCTTGGTTGACCATTCCGAAGAATCAACGGCATGCCGAATAGCTTGTGTGCCGTCCATGCTGCTCACTGGCTCTTGTTTATCTGATCCGTTGCCTCTCGAGACTGGAACCAAGGGTCAGCACTCGGGTGAGCCGATGACGGTATTTGTTTGCCTGCGGGTCCATAACTAGCCATGATAATAACTCCAGCCCATCCTGGCCTTGATGGGGGGAGGAGGGGGTATAGATCTGGTATCCGATCGGGTGACAGATTTCATGGTAGAGCAGCCTGGCAGCATTCCCGAGATATGCATCAACTCACTAGCGAGTGGAGTCCCGTTGAGGCTGCAAGGGTGGTTCTGTTAGTTGTTGGTAGCTGGGGCTGTTTGCTGTTGGCTGATGACGCTATAACGGGTGGCCATCTGCATCTTTTTAACTTAGCTCTGCTGCCATGCAAGAGTCAATTGATGGTAAGGTTGTCACCGGCGAGACAGAGCTGACAGCAACTGGCATCCCTGGCCAGCAACCGAGAGGCTGTTTTGCATCGGTTTCACGAGCGTCTTCCTCGCTGTCATTTTCCATCCTGATGCTCGTGATGAAGGCAAAAAAAAAACGCCCCAAGCCGAAAAGGGGCTGAATAACACGACAACAATGAGCATGACTAAGCAGCTGCCCTTTCCCCCGGATCTGGCCACGACGAAGACGAAGAAGAAGAAGAAGACGAAGACGAAGACGAAGACGAAGCAAAGAAGAAGCAAAGAAGAAAGACACCTTACTACTCGTACTCGTCGCTCTGACTTATTGGCAGGGGAGCACAAAGGAGGACACGTCGGCAGTTCGTCCTTTTTCTTTCCCCCTTGCACTCGCTGTTCTCTATCTTCTTCACACCGTATGCTGTAGCGTGCCTGTGAACGGCGCTCAATGCCAGCAGCACCTCCGGCAGACCGTTGTTGATACACTACGAATAGTGACAAGGCGTACCAGGCTACGGCGTATACCTCGCAGCCATGATGTTGGCTCACCGACCGGCGTCGCGGTTCTTCATCCTGACTGCTCTTGCGGTCTTCTTCATCCTCACCATCTCCTTCTTCCGAGTCTCGCCCATAAGCCCTGAGAAAAGGGCGCCTGGCCACCTCGTACAGCAGCAGCAGCCCATGCCGAAGGATGGCAATGTCCCGCTGTCGCTGCTGCAGGGAGAGTCCATCATGCCGACCCTGGAGAATAGCACGGCCAAGTAGGTGGATTTCTGCTCGAAAGGGCCCTGACCCGGTGACATTGGATTGGGAGAGGACCATGACACTGATATACTATGCTGGATAGGGCCGAGCTGGGACGGTCGTCGTGGCATCTGTTCCACACGGTGATGGCACGGTACCCCGAGAAACCGACAGGCGAAGAGCAGAGGGCATTGAGTGCATATGTGTACCTTTTTGCGAGACTATACCCATGGTATGTGTTCGGAGCAGTAACGCGGCAACCTTGAGTGAAGGGGGGAGGCGGGAGGGAGGAGAACTAATTATATATGGCTAACATGAGTATGCAATGTTCTAGTGGTGACTGCGCAGCACACTTCGTCAAATTGCTCCAGAAGTACCCTCCACAGACCTCGTCCCGGAACGCCGCCGCAGGCTGGGGCTGTCTGGTACACAACGAGGTAAACCGACGGCTAAGGAAGGATCTCTTCGATTGTACCAAGATAGGCGACTTTTACGACTGTGGCTGCGGCGACGACAAGGATAAGAAGAAGGCGGGTGACCAGAAACAGAGCCAGAGCAAAGGCGGCGCAAACGATGGCGTCAAGACGCAGGAAGACAGCACCAAGCCCAGGAAGCCGAAGAAGATGCTTTGGGGAGACGCAAACGGGCCGTTCCCTGGCGGCCCGGTGGAAATAACGGATGAGCCGTAAGCATGCTTACTCTCTCCCTCTATTTTCTTCTCTCTCTTCTCTCTTTGGAAGCATCTCTCTAACCCCAAGTGATACCCTGCAGACGCACGAATGGTTGATCTAAGCGCCAGTGATTACCTCCTCTTATATATATATACATACTATCCCGTGTCTTCAGCATCGCCACAGCCATCCCGTGGACAGATGCGCAAGTGACGAGTGACCATGATTCTCAGCCGGCGTTATTACTGCTTCTCATTTCTTCTTTTTCTCCCTCCTCCTCCTCTTTTTCCTGTGTGTATATTAAGGATTGTGATATAGAAGGAAGCATATATCCCTCCCCATGGAGACTTTTGTTGACGCTGCTTCCTGAAACCAGGCACCACCTCCGGGCCATCAGACCTCGCATCTGGCAACAGGATGCCTGTCCATAGTCAGCAGTAGACTGCAGCAGAGCGCAACAGGACGCACCAGGGGCGTAGGAGGGCGTAGGAGGGCGCAGACGAGGGTGTCTGGTGTTGCGCATTAGACTTTGATGATCATGGGATAGGGGGTCAGGAGGGTGCGAGTCGTATAGATCCGCTACGCGCGCCTATATCTGTCTACCGCTATATCTCTTCCCTTCTGTCTGTCTACATGGGCAGCTGTGTCTGTCTATTCGGGCATATAAATACCTTCCCGGCCGCGTTGATGCCCCTGTAGTTAGAAAGACACCCATATATATATATACATCCTAGATATATATATGCAAGGCCGGCGGCAAGCAACATCGCGCGCGGTTTCAGGTCATGCACAGCGAGCGCATCGCATATCAACGTCTCTTCTCTGCCTCTATATAACAAGTATACGCTCAAGTGCATCTTCGTCTTCTACTCTTCATCTCGTCGTCTCGCCGTCTCGTCGTCCCGCCGGTCTCTCTCTAGTGCTAAATATAGGCTGTCTTTCGCCTATCCCGAATCCACCCCCGGCAGGCTGCAAAAACTCTTCTTGTCGCGAGGCTCGAAGAAAAAGCAACGACACACAGAACGAGGAGCGAAAAGAAGGACAGGGCAGGACAGGACAGGACAGGACAGGCAGCGAGGGCGCCAGAAGACAGACAGGAAGCGGCTCGCCTTATAAGCCCGGCGGCCGCAGACTTATCAGCCTTATCTCGCGCTCCTTTCCTGCTTGCTTGCTTGCTTGCTCGCTGCTCGCTGGTCCAGCGCATCGCATCGCATCGCATCCCAAACAGACAGCGCATCCTCACAGCGCAGACGCCAGCGCCTAAAACCCGCCCCGTATTAATTAAAATATAAGCAGACGGGAAACGCCGCGATGGTTTCGTTCCAATGCGAGGTGAGTTGTCCCTTTCTTGTCCCTGCCTGTCCTTTGCGCCGACCGAGTCGACTAACGCTGGGATAAAAAAAAATACCTAACTACTAGAACTGTGGAGATGTGCTCACGAAGAAGAAGCTCGACTCCCACCGCGGCCACTGTCGCGGCGCCTCCTTCTCGTGCCTGGACTGCATGGTGCACTTCCAGGGCACCGAGTATCAATCTCACACTGTACGTCTTGCCGGCGTGGCTCTTCTCCAGGCTGCGGTCCCTGCCATTAAACCATCATCCCCCCCCCATTGGCCGCCCTGCATCAGGAGCGAAAGGACGGGCATCAGACAGCCAACAACAACAAGAAGAAGAGGGAAAGAAAGCTAACAGGATGGACAGTCATGCATGACCGAGGCGCAGAAGTACCAGGGCGCACTATATAAAGAGAAGCCAGCGAAGAACACGAAGAAGAAAGCTGTCACCATAGCTGAGGACGCAGTTGTCAAGTCGCTCAACCCTTACGTCGAGGACGCGCCTGATGCAGACGACGACTACAAGGGCGCACCGCCGCCAGCACCCAGTCCGCCGCCGTTTAAGAACACAGACACCACCGTGGCTAAACCAAGGTCTGAGAAGATCGATGTGTTCGACTTCCTCGATGAGTCGGCCACGCCCAACGCCTCGCGGACGAATCTCAACGAGTCGATGACCATGGTGGAACATGCTCCCCCGATCTTCGACTCGCCGAAGCAGCTCGCCCGGATAGACGGCGACAGGGACGAGGAGGAGGACACCGGCTACGATGTTGCGTACGAAGAGAACGGCTTCTCGTACGGAGCGGGCCCTATCCCGCCTGCACCGCCGTACAGACACGATTCCAACCTGTCCACTGCGTCCACCGAGTTCATGACGCCGGCGCAGAAATGGGAGCGGGAACGGCAGCAGTGGCTCCACGACCGGAACGCAAGACTCAACATGAACCGTCCGCCCCCTTCGCTCGAGCGTCACCGGACAGACAGCAATATGAGCAACATGAGTCTCACCACGAGTGACAAGAAGCGGAAACGCGGACAGGCCGGCCCTTCAGACGCGAACTTGACTACACCAGGCGGCTATGACTACGAGGCCGATACTCCCATGATGGACGCCGCTGCAGCAGCTGGTGGTCATACCTCCTATCACGATCGCCCGCCTCCCATCCTGCACTCAGGCCTGACCGGCAACCTCAGCCGCATGATGCGTTACTCTGTCTCGCCAGACTACTCTGACGAGTACCGCAGCGACTACTCCCGTGGCCACGGCGAGCCCAACTCCCCCATCAAGCGTAGCAAACGCACCAAGGAGCCCGTTGGGTCCGGAGAAAACGGACTGGGGATATCGATGAAGGGACAGGGTCGCACGACAGGAAAGCTCATCTCCCTGCTCGGTGCTGGCGCCACTATCGACCCGGCCACAAAGGCACTTGTACGAACCAAGAGACGCACCTCGGAAGGGTCGAGTGCAGCCGCTGCTCCTGCTCCTGCTCCTGCGCCTGCGCCAGCTCCTGCAGCCTCGACGTCACGCGAGCTGGTGCAGACAAAGAAGACCAAACGGCCCAAGACACGCCAGCTGTCCGAGGTGGGTAGCAGCTCCAGCAAGAGCCGACGCAAGGTCAGCGCAGGGAACGGGGCTGAAGACTCCGACTCGGAACGGCCCGAGAAGGATCAGCGCAAGATGAAGGCCATCGAGTACAAACGCTCTACCGACTCGGACGAAGGGGCCGCCAAACGCAGCAAGACCACCGACAACAGCCAGATGGTCCTGTACAAGAACGGCAGCGCCCAGCCAGGCCACGACAGCGAGTTCGAGGAGAACCTGCGCTTCGAAAAGGCCAGCATCTTCCTGTCCCTGGTCAACAAGGGGCCTGACAGCGAGCGCGGATGCTCTGTCCACAAGATCCTGAAGCGCTACCACCGCCTCGAGTCCCCGTCCCGCTCTGGCTCGCCGGAGTCAAAGGACAAGGACGGCAAGGAGAGCTCGCGAGGCAGCAGGCGCGGCCGCGGACGCAGCCGGGCTGAAGAGAAGGAGAGAAAGGAGGAGGAAGAGCAGCAGCTCTGGCGGACGCTGAGGGTCAAGCGGAATGATAACGGCGAGATGGTCCTTTTCCTACCGTGATTTGATATTTTGGTCCCGTCTTTTCTTTTCTTCACCTCCATACCCATCTTTACTTACCTACCTAATGACCTCTGTACCTTGGCTAGCATGAGCGTCTTCATCTCGTCTTGATTAATACATATATCTTCTTTTTCTACCCTGTCTTCGCATTTCATCGCCGTCTCGTATAGACATTCCACTCTATCTTGAACAGTGACTCAAGCAAAGATGACTCGACTCGATTCTCCACCAAAGCAAGAAAAAGCAAATAAGATCAAACATTAAATTTCGTCACAGAATCTTGAGAATCCTTTTATATCAAAGCTGTCTCTGCCTGCAAAAAGCTCTTCTCCTTTGCTGTTTATTCCTCCTTTTTTTCTGCTTCTTCTTCTTCTTCTTCTTCTTCTTTCTGTCCTTTAACTAGTTTCTTCACCGTCGCCTCCTTTTGACGGAACTTCGCCCCCTTCTTTTCCTTGTCTATAGAAACAGCCTAGCATCAGCCGGAGTTAAAGGTCAAGCTCTTGCTTTACATAGAAGATAAAGAGAAGAAGAAGAAGCTGTTTCTTCTCTGTCTTCACTATCCTGAACTGTTTCCCCCTTTTCTTTGATTCACACTGGATATCGCGTGTCCTCAGTCTGGTGCGCGCGTTGCTATCCAGCCGACCATGGCATCTTCAATAGATGTCCCCACGTCTACCCCGGCAGCTTCGTCTTTGGGAGCTCAGGGCCCGTCGAGGTCCCAGGGAGATCATAGAGGCAGCGGGAGAGGCAGAGGATCTCATCGTCGAGGCAGGGGAGGGAGAGGTGATGCGCACGCAGTTGTGAATGGGACGTCGCAGCCACCGCAGCAGCAACGGACGGCGCAAGAACAACCACACGAACAGCAACACCAGCAACGGAGATCGAGAGGAGGACGGGGCCGGGGGAGAGGAAGAGGCGCCTCTCATGCCGGCCGGTCAGAAGTAGTCACCACCAGGGCGTTCCGTGGCAGGTTGACACAGCCAGCCGAGTCGTCGTCCTCGAGACACACGAACGGAGCAGCATCCCAGGACCAGAAACATAGTGCCGAAGCTGAGTCTTCTTCTTCTCTACGGCCTGACGCCTCGGAATTCGTCCCTGGGCAGCCTCATAAGGCTATCAATCCTCCTTCTGAACAGTCCTCCTCCCCCTCGAAACAGCCTCGACAGCACCCAAAGAAACCTACCAAATCTCTCACAAAGTCGGTAGCGGATAACATCACCACGCGCATCCACGAAGACATCTCGAACAACCTATATGAATGTCCCATATGCACGTCCGAACTTGGCCCCAGATCAAAGGTCTGGTCCTGCAGACAGTGCTGGACCGTCTTCCATCTTCACTGTATCAAGAAATGGTCGACGAACGAAGGATCCGTACATACAAGACCGCGGGACCAGGAGCAGGAGGATGACTCCGAGCTTCCGCCTGCTCGCCAGTGGAGATGTCCCGGCTGTAACCTGCCTCAAGATACTCTTCCGTCAGGGTATACTTGTTGGTGTGAGAAGGAGATGGATATCAGATCTGTCCCTGGCCTCCCACCTCATTCATGTGGCCAGTCATGCTCTCGATCAAGGGAGGGATGCCCTCACCCTTGTGACTCCGTCTGTCATGCTGGCCCCTGTGCTCCCTGTCAGGCCATGGGCCCTGTACAAAGCTGCTACTGCGGAAGACATGAGATCCAGAAGAAATGCGTAGACACAGACTACGTCTCTGGTTGGAGCTGCAAAGAAACCTGTGAGGAGCTTCTGCCATGTCTACAACATACCTGCCAACGGTCATGCCATGAAGGCCTTTGTGGAGAGTGTGAAGAGCTCGTTCCAGCAAGATGTTACTGCGGCAAAGTTACTAGTCAGATATTGTGCAATGTCAAGGAAGAAGAAAGAGAGTCCCGGAATCTGGAAGAAACTTGGATAGGTTCTTTCACCTGTCCAGATGTCTGTGGCAGACTATTTGATTGTGGCATCCACCACTGTGAAAAATCCTGTCATCCTCAGGACACACTCCCTTCTCACTGCCCTACAGCCCCTGATATGGTCTCCCACTGCGCCTGTGGGAAGACCAAGCTTGCCGATATGGATATCGAGCCACGCGAGGCTTGTACGGATCCGATTCCCAACTGCCAGAAGAGCTGTAACAAGCCCCTGAGATGTAGCCATCCTTGCCCCAAGCCGTGTCATACTGGGCCCTGTCCACCATGCTACCTCACCATGGAGGTGTCTTGTATGTGTGGACGAACTACAGCGAAAACCCTCTGCCACCAGGGAAAGACAGAGGCGCCTTCTTGTATGCGCGTGTGCAAGGCCACGCTCAACTGCGGGAGACACGTCTGTGGCGAGCATTGCTGTACTGGCGAACGCAAAGCCATTGAACGACTCGCAACTAAGAAGAAGCTAAAGTCCCTGAACGTTCGACAGACTGATGAAAATGACATTGAGGCAGAGCATATCTGCACGCGTGTATGTGGGAAACTCCTTAAATGCGGTACCCATGAGTGCCAGGAGCTGTGCCATCGAGGTCCCTGTGCTAGGTGTCCAGAAGCCATATTCCACGAAATTACATGCAACTGCGGCAGATCTGTACTCTACCCTCCCTTACCCTGTGGAACAGGACCACCGGCCTGTAACTTCAACTGCGGCCGGTCCAAACGATGCGGTCACCCCCAGACACCACACAGCTGCCATACTGATGACGAATCCTGTCCCAAATGCCCATTCTTAACGGAAAAGAAGTGTTTATGTGGAAAGAGGGTGCTCAAGAATCAGCCTTGCTGGCTAGTTGATGCTAGATGTGGACTTGTTTGCGGCCAGGAACTCCAGTGTGGCTCGCATACATGCAAAAAGGAATGTCACCGCCCTGGCGACTGTGAAGACTCTATAACTAGTTGCCAGCAACAATGTGGGAAGATTAAAAAGCAGTGCTCCCACATCTGCACTGAACCATGTCATGCACCATTCCCGTGTCCAGAGAAGACGCCATGCCAGTCAAAGATTACAGTTACCTGCCAGTGCGGACGAATTAAGCAGGAAAAACGCTGTGGTGCAACCAAGGATAAAGATCGCCAGGGACATGAAGCTCCATCATCTCTCCCCTGTGATGAAGAATGTGGTCGAATCCAGCGTAATCGCACCATTGCTTCTGCTTTCGGACTCGAGGTCGATCCATCCAGCACTGCAACAGCGTCCGAACCACTCACACTGGAGAACCTCCCTTACTCCAAGGAAACACTCGACATGTACATGGAACTCGCCTCGTCTTCTTCCCTCTCGACCATGGAAACTTACGAATCTAAGCTCTACGAACTGGCTCGTAGCATGACAGACCGCTCAGCTCGCTTCCCACCTGCTCGCGCCAATTTCCGTGCCTTCGTCCATTCGCTTGCGGAAGATTGGGGTTTCAAATCCGAAAGTCTCGACCCAGAACCCCATAGACATGTCGTCGTTTTCAAATCTGGCGGTTGGTTGCCGCCCTCCCTTGCTGGACCAGGAATAGGTATTCGAGGAATCAGCGTAGGCGACTGCGCCAAGTTCCGTGACAGAGAACGACTGAAAGAAAGAGCCGCCAAACGCGAGGCGGCCGCTGAACGTGCTAGGCTTGAAGCTGCTCTTAAAGAGGCATCTTCTGCCAGTGCGAATGACGGATGGGCACAGGTTGTGTCGAGAAAGCGCCCGGGTACAAGCAGCAGCCCAGGTGAAGCTTCTCCTTATGGATTTGGAACTGCTACGCCCAGCGACTCGAAAGGAAAACTGGTCCTGCGTAGCGGCATCGGATCAGGACGAACCGTTGGCACTGCCTCGCGATTTGGCGCTTTGGGAATGGACGGTGCTGATGCACATGCTGATGAAGATGTAGTTGAAGATTGGGAGGAAGAGGTTGCGCGTGAAGAGCAAGAAATGAAGGAGAAAATGGAGACGATGGATGTGCAGCATGATGGAGACTCTCCGTCTGCTTAATGAGATAAACGAATGAAGGATTGGTTCCCCCCTGCCGTTGGTTTAAATGGATATTGGGAATGTTTACGGTTGGGAACAAAATCAACGAAATGCATGTGTATGATTATCACGGTCACAAAAAAATAGAACCTGCATAGCGAGAAAAAAAGATACCATGGTTTGATAGAAATATCTGGCTATTTCCTTACAATACATCACAACGTCTCTATATTCTCAATACATAACGTTAGTAGGAATCTGAAATGGCCAAGGTGCAGTAGGCAAGGCAAGTTCTGCTCAATTGGATGTAGTCAACTCATGCTGCGCCGGTCTCTCCCAACGTGTAACATAGTCCCCGGCCTCCTCTGCCTCAGCTCTCGTCCGTCCGGAAGGCCCATATCCCCTGTTGGATGTGGGCAGTTGGGGTTCGGGATATTCTGGCCATGATAATGGCTCTGGTGCTTCACGCGAATGGCTGGTCGCTTGAATTGCTCGTCGAGTAGCTGACTAGTCCCTCAGATGCTTCCTGTAATCTGAGATATCAAATCCATCTTCGATAGGGCGTTGTAACTTCCACTCCCCCATATCTTCTATCTTACTGACAGACTCTTGATGCAATAACCTATCTAGGAACTGCCTGTCCCCTGTGAGAAATTGATATACCCAGACAATGAGAGAGTTAACGTCAGCCAATGGTACCATAGTCTGTTTGCCGATCTTAATTATCAGGCCGAAACAATATAACTTGACTTCGTTCTTGTCGTGGTCAATGAGGAAGGTGTGTGGACAAATATCATTATGCAGGACACCGTAACGTAGATTTAGCTCGTCCGCCGCATCTGTCATCTGCTTTAGCCAACAGAAGTTGAAAACACCGTCGTAATCGTAAAGCCTGGTCCCAGATAGGCATTTATATGTGAACCCAAGAATGTTCTCGGTTACATCGTCAATGATGATACGGTGGAAAGGGACGAAGTGCTCGTTGCCTTGAAGAGCTTTGTGGATATGCAGGTCTATCCAAACCCTCCAGATCCAGTTCTGATTAAGGGTATATTTGAAAAAAGCGAGCTCTTTCTTTGCCTCACTGTCTGAGGAGTTGTATTCTACCAGGTCGACAAACTTATTAAGCCTGTCGATTTCGGTAAGCTCAGATCGGCGTATGACTTGATGTTTGTCCATTGCACCGGTGTACTTCGGAAATCGAATTTCCATTGTAACATCTTCGCTGGTGAACTTAACCAAATCCCCATTTTCGTCAACAATAATGGTATGGTTGTCCGGGCCAAGCTGGTCAACGTATCGTTCTAGAGCCAGGAAGGTGTTCCGGAAATCATCCTCATTACCGAGGAGCTTTGAAGGGCCGATAAGCTGCAGGCATCGGAGGGTATCGCAATCAATGACATAGGTAGTCACATCGACAAGATCATCAATGCAGTAAATTATACAGAACCGCCCCTCTGAACTGATCATCGTGGACCTCGGATGGACAAACGACGGGTTTCTAGATGTAAATGAGCTAGACTGGAGTTGTGACTACTTACTTGAGGGGTCGGGTTAATGTTGATATTTTGAGTCTACTCTGCCTGTGCAGGGCAGGCTGCCATGCATGGAGACCATGGCTCGTTATTGGTAGCTGCCTGGACACAAGCGCTTCAAACCGCTGCCCCTTTGATCCAACCAGATTGTTGATGTTGATGTTGGAAAATTGTATACTCTCATTGACCAATTAGAGATAACTACCCATGGAGTGTTTAAGTTAATATTCATTGGTCACTGTGCAATTCGACTTTCTGGGTTTGTTAGTCAGCGGAAAATTCTCAACGCTGATTCGACTTTTCACTTTTAACAAAACCAACAACTAAGGGCTATAATTAACTGTTCAGAATGTTTTGTATTAACGACATCCCATCTATTCAGATTGCAATGAAGGTGCTTAAAGAGCCGAACATAATTTATACCCCGAATATAGTGAGATCAATGACAAACATGTACTCACTCTCTGATTTTGGGCTTCGTAACGCCCGGATACCCATATCTTCCATGCACCCTGGGCTGCATGCATGAGACGATCGACTATTGGCTCAGAAGAGGGGCTTTTCGGATAAGTAAATGTAACATGGCCACCAAGGCGATCATGTCTATGCCTCTAAATCGAGAGAGTGTTGGCCATCGGAGTTTCAGTCCTTTGCGCTGCGTATTCATCGATCCCATACCTCCATAAGCCATGGCCAAAACCCAGGAAACTAAACCCCCTGCCACGAAACGCAGGGGACCAAGCCACAGGATAACGAAATATATATCTGCCAAGTCCAGACTCGCTATATTTCGAAAAATCCAATCGAAAACGGCCAGATCAAGGAAAGGAGAGCGTGAAGATGAACCCCGAGACCAGGAACCGCCTTCCAAAACGATCTTCGGAACCTCTAGTCCTTCTGCCTCAGAATATCCTCCTGCCCAACCTCGCAATCCCACCCTACCTGTGCCTGAACACATTAGATCCAGAAGCAATAGCCCCGACCCTCCTCTGCGATACATCCAACCTAAAGAGATAGCAACGTATCTCTTGTATAATAATATGTACAAGATAGATCCGAGGACGGGGTGTACGTGTGGATGGTATGTCTTCCGCTCAGCAATCTGCACTCATGAGTTCACAATATACCGGCACACGTGTGGATCAACGATAACCAAATCTTGCACGGTCGGCTTCTGCAAGTCTCCAGCGCGATATAATCACATCGATAGCGTTGAAATCCCTTACTTATGCTATGTTTGCGAGCATCAAGATCGATGATGTGGTCTTTTCCTGGAGGTCATCCCTGGAATGAAGTTCTGGGCAAGCGTTAGGCTGACTTTATGGAAAGTAAAGAACTTATGTGATTATATATATACCGGAATCGATAATTTTCCAGTCGCGTATATACATTTAGACTGGCCTATTTTGCAAGTAATAACCTACCTTAACTCAGATCCGGGGTATGTAATATGAGAGCTGTAAGAGAATATGGAATGGAAGGCAGGAAATCACGTGTTATTCTTCGATGCAGTCGAACTTATGGGAGGAGTATTGGGCAGATACGTCTCCTGCCAATATTCACCATTCGTGTGCGATCCATTGACATTTATAAATAGCCACGAGAGCGCCACATCCGACTCTGTCTTTCCCTCTCGTCTCTTCTAAAGCTCAATATTCACCGTCTTTCCCTCTCTCCTTCCACTACTACTTCTCTGAAAACACCCGCAAATCACCTGGCAACCCACAGCGAAAAACTAGTCAGTTATGGGGCACCCAGTCACCTACGTCGAGCCCAAACACCTCTTACCATATATCATGGAGCACGGCATTGTTGATGAGCGAACGGGATGCAGGTGCGGTGGTATCATTTCTATTCAGCAATTTGCGGACACATGTATTGTAAAGTCCGAAACACATGCGGTGGTACAGTGAAGGGGGGGCATGAGTGCGTTCTGCACGAATCCAGCACAATCCAAGAAGATGGACGCCCGGGTTCCTATGATGTGCAGTCGCTGCCAGATTGATGTGAGAAGGGTTTAGAAAGGATATATGGACATTATCCCCAGAACCTTGGCATATTTACGACGATCGATATTACCGATACGCCTAAACGGCAGACCGATATAGAACTGCTCCCGCAAGACCCGCCTACCGGAGACATCCATGGTTATCTTTTCATTTTGTATCTCTACTTTTTCACTCTCCTCATGCATCACGATTTTCTTGTATCAAACGAGAGTTTTCTGTCAATGAATTAAGCGCCTACTTAAGGGGTCGTTTCAAACAATGTCACGTGAACATAATCTTAGTAATCAAGGGGATGGGCGGCGAGAAAGAAGCAAAAAAGGCAGCGAAAGCGACGAAGAGAAAAGAGACGAGAGGAAGAAAGAAGCGTCGCTTGTGATAGGCATATAGACGTATCTCTCTCTGCCCGGGAGCATAGATTCCGCCGCCTCTTGCGTCTCCAAGCACCCGACGTGACGTATGCCTATCTCAGCGTACAGAGAGTGAAGGCTGGGAACTCCATGCATGCTCCGCCCGTCCCGTCCGTCCCCTAACACGACGCTCTTTTCTCCTACTCGCCGTCTGCTCGGTCTGCTGTCTCGTCCGGCCCTTGGAAGCGTCGCAAGCAGTCAAGGTAGCGTTAGTCAAGGCGTAAGTCAGCACGTCTGGGCCCCCTTTTTTTCAGCCTCTTCCCCTACCCGCCCCGATCCTGATATGCCGCCAGACGTGACGGTGACGCCCTTCCCTTCACTCGCGCCTGGCGCTTAGCTTGTCTTCCCTCCGGCTTCACCTCTCGCTCTGGCGATCCCTCCTGTCCTCCCGCTGCCTCTGCTTCCCTGACTCTGCCCTCCAGCTGCTCCGCCAGCCTCCCCTACCCGCCTCTGCCTTCGCGACCTCCCCTGGCCGCTTGCGCTGCCTGCGCCCTTCTCTTGCTGACTCATCCTAGAACACGTGACCCTCTCACCGCCCTCCCCCTTTGGGAAACTGCAGAAACATCCACAAGAGAAAAAAAAGGCGAAACAAGATTTCATCGAAGCGCAAAGAAGCAAACGCCAGACGCGGCATTTCGCGACCTCACCTCTCGCTTTGCCTGCACTCCCTGCCAACAGCACCCACACAGCCACGTCGCCGGACAGCGAGCTGAGGGCCGTCTGACCTGGTGCACGCGTTCTCTGCTGCTGTCTCACTCGCTCGATCGGCCTTGACCCTGGAACTCTCACTCCTACGGGTCCCCAGAAATCCCATCGTCAACACACGCAGCAAAAATAAAAATAAAAAAAAATAAAAATAAAAAAATAGAGACCGGGGGAGCTTCCCACAGCTATCCAAACGGCACAATCGGATGGGTGTCTAACTCGCCATGAACGCCTGGCTCCACGATACGCCGCCCGCCATTCCATCGCCCCTTGACCCCGGCGCAGGCAACCCCAACGTCAATGGCCATGGAAACGGGACCGCGTTCGCCAACCCCCCCCATCCTCCTCCACCCGCGCCGGCCACCATAGATCCCTCCATGGCCTTTCTGCAGCCTCAATCGCAGCAACCGCAGCAGCAGCAGCAGCAACAACAACAACAACAGCAACAGCCGCCTCAGTCTCAGCCGCAGTCTCAATCTCCCGCGCCGTCGGACACTCCCCAGTTCACGCGCATGTTCAATGGCGCAACTCCCTCGCCGGCATCGCGCATGTCTCCTGGATTCCACCCGCCAAACTCTGTCGTCCCGTCGAAACGATCGCGACCAGATGATGGCTTTCTCGTCTCGTCTCCTCGTCAGGTACCAGGAGGGATTCCTCCAACTGCCGTCTCGCGCTCCCAGACACCGCAACATGGCGCTTATCCAGGCTATCAACAACCACAGCAGCAACAACCACAACAGCAGCAGCAGCAAACTCCCGTAGGCGGCGGAGCAGCTGTTGTTAATGCCAACGGAGCTTCTCATTTTCCTCCCGCACCTGGTGCGGCTCCCGGTGGCCCTGCTCCTGCTTTTCACCCGGGTTTTCAGCAGGCAGCCTCTTCGACAGCTAGCCCGTCTCCAGTGCCACAGGAGTTTGATGCGCAGAGAGTACAAACTACCTCTCCTTCCCCTTTCCCCAATGCTGCAGTACAGCCCGGCCAGCCTTCGTCTGACCACGGAAGCCGTGTTGCCACTCCTCAAGCTCCCACCTCCTACCCTCCAGGCCCGCCTTATCCAGGTCAAGTCCAACAGACTCCAAACCAGAACCCTATGATGCCTGGATATCCTTCGCATGCTCAACAGATGGCCGCGCGTCAGCAGATGTATCAGATGCACATGGCTAACCAGGTGCGCCAGCAACAGCAACAACAAGTACAACAGCAGCAGCAACAACAACAACAGGTACCACCTGGAATGCCAGGCCAGCCAATGTCGAGCCAACAGCAGAGCCAGATGGCTGCTATGCGCCACATACAACAGCAGCAGGCACAACAACAGGCACAACAGCATGCCGTACAGCAGCAAGCCGTTCAAGCTGCCCAGCAACAGGCCCAGGTTGTAGCTCAACAACAAGCTCAAGCTCAGGCTCAGGCTCAGGCTCAGGCTCAGGCCCAGGCCCAGGCTCAAGCACAGGCTATGGCCAAACCTACCACACCAGAAGGATTCCTTCGCGTGCTGCAGAAATTTATGATTCCTCGACGACTACCGCTTGATCCCTCTCCTCTCGTGTGCGGACGACCCATTGTCCTTATGCAGCTCTACGCGACTGTCATGAAGCTAGGCGGTTCCCAAAAGGTTACCAATACTAATTCATGGCCAGTCGTCGCTCAACAACTGCATTTTCCCGCTATGCAGTATCCCACAGCTGCACGAGAGATACGGGATCACTATTACCGTAACCTTGCCGCTTACGAACAGGCCTGGCTCTCTACACACCAGAAACCAGGCGACCAGTCACAACCGCAGCCGCAGATGCAAATGCCGATGCAGCCTCAGAATGACATAATGTCTCCTGTCAAGCCAATGAATAGCCATTTTGACCCTCAGGTCCAAGCACAAGCGCCAGCACAGGGGTTCATGCAACCGTCGATGCAGCAGCAGCCACCTCAAGTTATGAACGGCTACTCAACACCTAGCAAGCCTAAGCTACAGCAACACTCTGGGTTGAGTCACGCAGAGTCTCTGTCTATGTCTCCCAATGGCCAGAGCATAGCCTCTCCCTCTGTGAAAGAAGATGCTTTTGCTCCACCAACGTACACTTTCAAGCAACCAATACCGGAGGAGTATACACCTCTAACCTTCCCTGAGCCTGTTTTCCATGGTCCTGTCATCGTCGATGAGCTATTCCCTCTGGGTGATGATCTACTCCGTCTGAAGCCCACCGTTCCTCGATTCCATGAATTGGGTGTAATCGACATCCATGCTCTAACGATGAGCCTCAAATCTGGACTCATCTCTGAAACTCGTCTGGCCCTAGACACGTTAACAACCCTGTCCGCTGAACCAGCGGTCCATCTCTCTCTCGAAAACTGCGATGATCTGCTTCCAACTATGCTAGATACAGCAACAGACCACCTTGAATTGCTCGCGGAACATTCACCGGAAGTATCAGATGAGATACAGCTGGCCTCGTACGAGGAACTACTTCGCGGATGCCGCCAGGAGATCGAGTCGTTGCTTGACGTTCCACCCTTTGGCAGTTTAGAACACTCCCTCGATCGAGCGGTCGACCGTCTCATCTGTATTACCACCATATTGCGCAACTTCAGCTTCTCGGAATCAAATTTCCCTCTCCTCTCTGCTCCAAGCGTTGTCCGTTTCCTTGCTCTTGCCATTCGATATATGGGCACTAGGCATCTTTTCCTTCGCACGCATCAGAATACCCTAGACTTCATGAAAGACGTTCTCATCTTCCTCAGCAACCTTGCCCACGCCATACATATACCAGGAAAGGATGAGGCCCTGGCGCTGCTAAATTTCCTCCTTTCATTTGCACCCTTAACTACCACACCAACATCAGACGACGAACCTCTCATCTTCCCTAGTTACCAGCCAAGCATCCATCGCTATCTGCCAGCAGCAGTCGACAGTTTAGCTAAGCTGTTAGCCCGTGATGACCCCAATCGTACCCTCTACAAGTCTATCTTCTCCGACCCCTCTGTCAATGCATCAACGGCTGGCGCGCATATTTCAACGTATCTCCTAACGCGTGCGTTCGCACTTGCCATCTCCATAATACCGGAGTACTCAAAGGGGAACGTTTTACCTATAACGGAAGCTCGCAAGCCGTTCCTCATGCAAGGTCTTCTAGCGGCGGAGGTACTATCGTCTCTCGCCGATGCTTCATTTGCTCGTGCTTGGCTATGTTCCCACGACGGATTTGCCATTAGTCTTGTTCACCTTGCTGGACTATTAAGTACAGAAAGACCTCGTCAGTCTATTCCCCAACATCCCAATGCTCTTGGTGCTAGGCAGGATGATGCACAAGGTTACTATACCATTGTTTCTCGTGCACTCGGTATACTCAACAGACTTGCCTCAAAAGTACGGAAGGCAAATAAAGGCAAGCAGGGCGGTATAGACTTGGGGCTCAACGTCCTGCCTAAGAAGGAGAATATACTAGGTGCATTGGTTTCAAGAGTCATCGACTCAAGCACGCTCAAATTGCTTTGCGAGTTCGAAGGGCTATCGAGATAATTACTAAGTACCGGCCCGGATCTATGCATCATTGTATCAAGAGCTAGACAGACGGTAGCTAGCATACAAACCACAGATTTTCTTTGCATCTGGACTTGCGTGTGAAAATAAAGGAGGCGGTCGGCTGCCATTGAATCTTTTCCACCCAACCAAACGCCTTTTCCCTCCCCGCTATTGACTCTCGTTTCGCGTTATTATCTTTTTCAGTTTCACCTTTTTTATTTCCCTTCTTCTTTTCTTTCGTCTACCTTTTTGTCTCTATCTTCTTTCTCCGTCATTCCCCCTTTCGTCGCTGGGAATTTGGTTTACCAAGTCATATCCACGAACCAGCTCGGCTTGCTGGGAAGAATGACGATGTTTCAGATTGAACTTTTGGACGAGGAGGGAATTGTATGTATGTATTTATGTATGGTATGGGGGGAGTTGAGAAACATTAAAAGCACTGAAAGGAGGAAAGCAAGCAAGCATGTACGCATGCATGCAAACATATAAACGCGCCATATCATCAAACAACTGCTTTCTACCCATTTTTGTCTTTTTGTCTATATGTTTCTCATTGCATGTATATCTCGACTACCTATTTTATGCAGGGCGTTAAGGTGAAGGTCCTAATCACATACCTGGGTAACAAACAACATTTTCGAGCAGCTTAATCGAAATCCATCTACTCATCAACTTGCATGTCCTCTACATCTTCTGATTTCTCTTCTTGAACTTGACATTGATAAGCGGAGTAGACCCTATTCAATAGCACACACAGCTATAGTATGTATGCACATAAGTACATAAAGAGCAAGTTAACAATACCATAGACACATACATACTATACAACTGTCCGTAGCTTTTCAAATGAGAGACAGGAACACGAGAGAAACCCCCAACAGTAATGACATGCCCAAATGATAAATCACCAACCAATCCGTACCAGACTAAGCTAAGCATGAAGAGAATAGGGAGTGAAACAGATAAAGACTAGAGCATTATCAGAACGGACCAGGGAGGTAGGTTATGCGGAGTATGCGGAATCAGAAATCAAATATCGCTAAACGCCGTTTTGAAGAAGAAGTGGTATGGAATAATACATTTTGGACAGGAAAAAGAGAGGAGATTTTTCTCGTTCAGAATCGTCGATCAAGGAGGAATTGCGTAACTTCTGGCTTTCGCCATCCCTAGAGACCAACACCGTTAGACATGATCCAGTTCTGTCGTGAGTAAAGGGAAAACAGCGTACCTTTACTGTAATGTGTCCGTTTGTCTGGTTGATATATACCTCTGATGGCTTAGATTCAAGGCCAAGGTATTTCACCAAATCATCTCGAAGAGCATTAAGGTCTCCTTCCGTCTTACGGAGTCGAGTCTCCTGCTTGGTTCCGCCGGCCTTGGTAACGAGATAAATGGGTAGTTGGTTCGAGGGGGTTCGGCGGATAAAATATGGTAGATTAGTGAGTGGGAGAGAATCAGCTTGTCCTGCTGGAGCGGACTGCTGAGGCTGCAAACTAGCCTGACTGCGGGTAGATTTGGGAGCAGTGAACGGTCGAGTGATGTGCGTGACGATTGTGCGGGAAGAAGTAGCGGGGAAAGAATGTGATACTATATCTGATATGTTAATATATGCTGCCATTGCTAGTTGCGGTTGATTTGGTTGGTATTGCTGCAGTGGTATAGATTGCTCAATTGGAGGCACGAGGGAACAAGTCTCTACTTACGCAAACTTCTCGACTGTGGGACTGCTGTTCGCAGCAGACTGTTAAACGAGGCCGGAGAGGTAAAACTGCGCTGGAGGCATTGGACTGTTGACCGCTGAGCAGGAAGTATAGAGGCCATCTTGAGTAATAGGTGTGAAGTTGCTAGCTGGTGCTGGCCGTGCTAGAGAGCTGTTGAAGCTGGTGAAAAGCCGGGTGTCTCCCGTCTGTCTGGCTAGACCGAGCTTCTCTTCTATAGCATCCAGGTCTCTTTGTCAGGCAAAAGAGCTCCCTCTCTCTTCCGTTTTTTGTCTGCGTCTTCTTCTTCTTATCTCGACGTCGATTTTTCTTCTTCCTCTCGCTTTTTTTCATATAAAAAGTCGAAGTCACCCGATGCTTTCTGCGCTTAACCCGATCGGGCACTAGCGCGTCTGCTTCCACCACACAAGTAAAAAAAACCATCAAAAAGTTCGATTTAATTTTTGGCGGGACGAAGACGATAAACGAAGATAGACGACGCAGGACGAACGACGGAGAGACAGAAGACGACGGACCGCTTCACGAAGGAATACCCCGACTGGCTATTGCAAGAGCGAGACCGTGACCATGGCAGACAACGCCCCGACATCAGCCAGCACGCTGCTCAAGGATGCCGCCGCGCAGTCTGCAGCCACCGCCGACGAGGTCGCCAAAAAACACGATTTGCTCCCTAAGCTCATCCCATATCTCGACCGTCAGCTCATCTTCCCGCTGCTAGAGTTTGCGTCAAATCAGGAGGAGGACGAGGAGGCTATCGACCAGATCACAAAGTCGAAATATGAGCTCCTCAAGCATACCAACATGGCAGACTATATTGCCAGTCTGTGGCAGGAAATCAACGATTCAGATACCGTACCAGAGGAATTCGTTACTAAGAGAGAAGAGGTCGTGCAGAAACTGCAGCATTACGTCGATGCAAGCAGCAAGATCACAGAGTTGCTACAGGATGATGCTGTAGTAGGCAATCTGCGCAGTGATAAGGCCGCTAACTTGAAGTTCCTTGAGGAGCAGCACGGAGCGACCATTGAGATGGTCAACACTCTCTACGATTTTGGGCGATTCCAGTACAGCTGTGGTAGCTATGGAAACGCTGCTGAACTTCTATACCAGTTCCGTGTTCTCTCTACCGATAATGACAAGGTTGCTGCCGCTACGTGGGGAAAACTCGCCTGTGAAATCCTGACTACCAATTGGGAGGGTGCCATGGAAGAAATCACCAAGGTCAAGGATTCGATTGATACCCGTCTCTTTAACAACCCGCTCGGTCAGCTCCAGCATCGCTCATGGCTCATCCACTGGTCTCTCTTCCCATTCTTCAACCACGAGCCTGCCCGTGACGTGCTCACAGATATGTTTTTCCACCCCGCCTACATCAACACTATACAAACCGCATGCCCCTGGATCCTCCGCTACCTCACTGCCGCCGTCATCACCAACCGAAGCCGCGCCCACAAGAACTCTGCCCTGTACCAGAAACAACTCAAGGATCTCATCCGTGTTGTTCGACAGGAAGAATATGAATACCAGGATCCAATTACCGAGTTCATCAAGGCTCTCTACATTGATTTCGATTTTGAAGAGGCCCAGAAGAAACTTGGTGAAGCTGAAGAAGTTCTACGGAGTGACTTCTTCCTTGTTGCTGCGGCGGATGCCTTTGTCGAGTCTGCTAGACACTTAATATCAGAGAGCTACTGCAAGATCCACCAGAGAATTGACATCAAGTATGTTTTTTTTTTTACTAAGCTTGCGCTATTTTACGTATGGCATACTAACTAATCTATAGTGACCTCTCCACTCGCCTTGGACTAAGTCAGAATGAAGGAGAGAAATGGATAGTCAACTTGATCCGCGACACCCGTGTTGATGCAAAGATCGATTATCAGGAAGGAACTGTTCTCATGAACCACCCTCCCCAGTCAGTCTATCAACAAGTCATCGAAAAGACAAAGGGAGGTTTCTTCCGAACACAAGTCTTAAGGTATGCTCTTATTTATCCCTTTTATTTTCCTGGGAAGTTGCTAATATAATCTCTAGCTCGGCTGTTGCCAAATAAATTTAATTTAATTCTCGACACTAGACGTGATTTGGTTGCCTCATTTTTTACTCAAGTCAATGTTTATGATGAACGGAGGAATGATCCAAAAGCCCATCTTCTTTTTCGTCCCGATGCCGACACCCTTACACTCCTCTTCTAGTCTTCTTCCTTTCCAACCTATGTTTTCTTTCCTTCAATCCTTTCGCCATGTGGAACGGCTGCTCGGATTGACATGTTTTGGGTGGGCGTTTTTTCAAGTTAATCCTGTGTTGTGTGTGTTAACGGTCTGCATACTCTTATCTATGCATAGGTTTCTTAAACATTTTAGTTTCAATGGTAAACGAGATTTATGCCTTAATTGTTCACATGTTTTTACTTGGATTGACCCATTATGGACCTATATAAGATATGAAACTCCAAGGTAGAGCGAGTCTACCTATATGGAGGGACAACGTAATTGGGAAGTTTCGTCGACAGTTTTGTATCAAAACAGTATGTCTATTCAAGCAAAAGAAGAAAGCCACCAAGCACCATAACGTAGCGACCCATAGAGGGAAAAGAAGCGTCAGAAGGGGATATCCAGAAAAGAAAAGGGAAAAAAAAAATAAAGAAAAAGAAAAGAAACAAAGATGTGTACTGTATGCTTTGTACAGTAAGTAGGTCCGTGGACATAATGAATACATCCAAGATCATGTCATGCCCTGTTGTATTCAACACCGGTATCGTCTCGATCGTGACCCACGATCATAAGAACGATGTTCTCTTCCCCGATCTCGGTCTCTATTTCGCTCACGGCCTCTGGAAATGGACACCGGCACAGGCTTATGGATGGAGGTCTGAGTGGCTGGGTCACCTGCTTCTTCGTGGCTACTTGACAACTGCATTGTCTTTATCGTCTGGTCCAGTTCAAACTTCTTAGACATACTCTTCAGGTCGTCGATTTGTTGCTGCGGTCACATCATTAGGCAAATCGGTCCACAGATATGGATGTAGGCCGCACCATCAGGGGGAGAAGGGCATGACGTACTTGGGTGAGTCTGCTTCCAGTGACCAGGTATCCATCTCGGCCCTAGAATTATAGTGTCAGGAAACGTGGAAAACGGAAGGGCTATGTATCCATTAGTGATAGGTTGGAGGTTCCATACATGGTAGGTATATGGCCTCGCGGACGCCGTTGGGCCGAGAAAGATGTGGATATTGCTGAGAATGACTTGTCGAGATAGCTCATAGCCTGGTAGCCAGTACTGCTCGGGCTGTGACATTTTTCCGTGTCCTTTGTTCTGTTTCTTGACTGGACGCCGTGGTTTCAGGGGGTAGCTTGAGAAGCGTTGACAGGGGGGAACGTGAAGAAAACAAGAGCAGAACCAAAAAAAAAAAAGACAAGACGACAAGAGAGTAGATGAAGAGAGTACAAAGCAGACGCAGGATACAAAGGTATAGATATAGACTATCTATGACTCGGTCACAGGCAGGGGGTGGTTGTGCCGTGCAGTGCAGCGTGTATTGAGGACGGATGTTCAACACACTCAGACGTTCATCTTCTGCAAAAGATGAAGGGAGGTAAACAGAAAAAAGACGGGGGAAACAGCAGGCTAGTTGTCGTCCATCACACGGCCAGCTTCGTACACAGCGGTGCTTCTTCCTCGTAGCCAGCCAAAGAGACGGGAGAGCAGAGAGCAAGCACGCAGAGCCGGCGGGCGTCTGTCCCCGTCTTATATATTTCCCGCCGACTTTCCAGGGAGCAAAAAGGCGCCCCTATTCTCTTACGTCAGCCAAGGGCCACCCAGGTCAGCTGATCCCTGCGCGCTCGGCCTTTCCTCAGCTCTTCGACCACAGCTTCGAAGTGAGGCTTCACCCAGCGAGCACAAGGCTTCAGCACATCCACTCACGCTCGTACAGGCCTCCGATCGTTGTGGGCTGCGTGCAGCTAATATTCATTTACCGCTGCACGCCCCCTGTCCCAGTCGTGGCGTTTCCAGATTCGCAAGTTTTCGCTCCTCTTTTGTGTGCAGGTTTTGTTGACCAGACTGCCTAGTTCGGGTCTTCGCCCAAGACGCTTTGGCGCCAGCGAGTCGGCAGGCATCCGTACGAAAAAAATGTGGGAAAAGGGGGGAGAAGACAAGCCATCGGCAGTGCTGAAATCGCTCTGACAGGCGCCTCCTTAGTGAAGCGGACTGGCCAGTGGCAACTGATACATCTAGATACTTCGTGCCGGAAGGGAAAGGATCCTATTGTCCTTTCCCCTGGAGCCATGAACGAGCGTGCTTTGCCTTGACTTGTCTCTATCCCATTGTCGCATTAGTAGACAGCTCCTGTGGGACTCACTGTTGGCCAGTTAGGCGCATAAATAATCCCCAGCATCTCCAACTAAATTTCCCTTTCTAGTGGAAGTGCCCTGACCTTGCCACCCGCCGCCAGAGTACGTGAAGGCCTGCCTATGCTGGATAACCCTGCCCCAGCCTTATAAATGGCACGCTTCCTAAGGAAGGCTTAACTACCTAAGATGCGTGCAAGGATAGCCAATAGAGCCGTGTCCGTCGAAAACATCTTTCATAGATGGTAAAGTTATATTCCGTACATACTAGTAGCCATCATTTTCGACATAGTTAGTGCATCAACGGCGCTGGGCGATCTCAGCTACTTTTTCTTTCGTAGTTCTTCCATAGATCCATCCGACTGCATGGATAGGTGTATCGAAAAGAACCCTTGCTCCTCATAGCTCTTGCTGCCTGCTTTGTTCCCACAGGGAGATGTGGACTGGAGCATACCTGAAATGAGGTCATATCTCTATTTCCACTGGCATCAGCTGCATTGTGCATCCGGGTCAATAAGAACTCAAGGAAAAAAACAAGTACTGAGTACAGAACGTAATTCCACTTAAGGAGTGTTCCACGAATGGCGATCCAAACCGACCATACATCATGGGTCAAATCCTCTCCCGAGGAATACAAGTAATGGCCTCCTTTTCGTATTTCCCGTAGATAACTCAAATATCGCACTATCTTGACCGCCATGCACAGGGCGTGCCTCATGAGCCGTCTCTCAGGAGGCTCCGGATGGACCCGAGAGTTCTAGTTCGCTTAGAAGGCACGGTTGCAGTGGATTTGTGAGAGAAACTAGATAGGGACACAACCCTATGTTCCATTGCGGGCCAACCGTTGTCCATATTCACGACGAAAGCCAAGCAAGTTCCTGACTTGGGTATTTCTAGCAGATGACCACCGGCCGGATCTTGATAAGATGGAGACAAGGCTATTATACGGAGTAGTTTCATGGAATTATCAATTCGCTGCCTCTCCACAGTTTGAGGGTTCACATTGTGCGTGGATGGGTCAAGCTTATTCTGAGCAGGGCGGATATATTTATGTATGTGACCCTGTGCTTCCATCCTTTCCTCCAGCTCCATCCAGGGCCCCTTGAGCAATGCATCATAATCAACCATTGTAAATATAAGGCGTATTACCCGTTTCACCTGGTTCGGTTTATAATTATTGCGTCGTTCTCTCTCTTTTTTCAACGGAGATATCACTAAAGATTGTCATGTGTAAGCGCTCCGTACTGATTGGTCAGTGAACAAAATACATTTATTGATCGGCTGGGTAATTTCTATCAGAAAAAGAAAATTGATATATTCTCCTATACCATGTAAGAATGGGGGAAACACTCATGTTTTTACCACCTTCTTCGATTACCACGAGCCCTGTATAATTTTCTTTTCCTGTAAATTTCCTGTTTTTCTATATTTTCGTTACTCTAATCCTCGTGGGCTGGCTGGAACGGGTGGATCAGCATGTCACTGAAACTACAAGGCGAACAAGTCAGTTTACTTCTGAATATATAAAATAGGGCGGGATATTCATACTTTTCCAACTTTTCTCTCCCACGGACCTCTTCAACGAGCAGTGGCATTCTGACAACGTTGAAATCTTCATACAGCTCCTTAATCTCATTCAAATACTTTTTTTGCATTTTTCGTCTTGCGCCACATTGTTGGCACGCATTATCTTTTCCGGGAAACAAAAGCTGATTGACAACAATGCAATGGGTATCGATGTTATAGCTCGTCAGCTCCTGTATCATGCGCTCAGTCTCATACAAGGACAAGAACTCGGCAATGCACACGCAGACAAAAGTGGTCATATCAGCATCCTTAAACTGAGAGTTAACCTCCGCAATAGTTTCTCGTAGTGATTCCATTTTTGATAGCACATCGTCAAGATTTTGCCCGCCTGGTAGGCCGCCACGAGCACCGAGGACCGAGTTAAGCATGGGGCCAAATTGGCCAGAAAGCTGCGATAGTTTGGAAAGGGCCTTTTCTAACACAGTTGGGAACTGCAGGAACCGAAGAGTATGGCCGGTAGGAGCGGTGTCAAAGACAATAACTTCATATGATAAAGATTTGACTTGCTTCAAAACCTCTGCAAAGGACATCGCTTCATCAACACCAGGTATCTAACACGGAATGTTAGCAGCTTTCAACGAAGAGATATTGCGATTGATACTTACACTAAAAGCCAGGTCTTGCATCATTCCACCTAGACCAAACCCGCCCATAGCATCGTCATTTCCGTCACCTCCCCCACTAGCCATTAAATCCTGAATGCTTCCATTGGGGTCAATCTCCATAGCGCTCAGATTATCATATCCATCAATAAGTCTAGCTTCCTTGCCAAATTTCTGGCCGAAAGCATCACTTAAATTATGAGCAGGATCTGTGGATATAAGAAGCACAGACTTCCGCACTTTGGAGAGTTGTATGGCCAGCGAGCATGAAGTGGTAGTTTTGCCGACTCCGCCCTTTCCACCGACAAATATCCATCGAAGGGTCTTATGGTCTAACAGACATTGTAGGGTAGGCTCCAGGACGTCGTCGTCCCCTACCACGGCGGTTGACGACATGTCGATAACGCTCTAGGTGGGGGGTTGACGGAAGGGTATTCGAGGAGTTGGTTAAAAAGTAGGCGTGATCTCGGTAACGGTTGCTTGGCCGGCGAGTGTATAAACTTGCGCCGTCAGGTAAGCCAGCTTTCAGGGTTAATCAGTTTGTTAAAACGAGTTGATAGTTGATCTCCTTGCTTGTGATTGAGTGTTCAATTGCATTTTTGGCTACCTGAAGGACGCTTGGACCAGCCCTCCAGTGCCCAGGTGAGTTGTGGTCACATGACACAGGCGCCAAGCCCGCCGTTTCTATGAGAAGCCACAGAATTCGACGCCGTGCATTTAATTTAATTTGCCGAATTCTTCCAGTGAAAGCTTTATCACCACCTACCCAAAAATGTCCCCGTAATGGTAAGCCCTTTAATGGGATGTATGCCATGGGAGCTCAATTCGATTCCAGGACCCAATTCGCATACCATACCCTCTTAACCAGGCTGTTGATCCCTTCATAAAGACAGCAAAGATTGTTGTTAACTAATTTGCTGCTGGAATCCTCGTTCGTAGCCCACTTTCGTGCACTGACACAGCTGATAGGAGAGTAAAGAGGCGACAAAGGAACAGATAGTGAAACTGACGATACCAGAACCAAAAAGTTTTGAAATTACCCCCATTTAGATCCTCCAGCGACTGTGTTGAGGACTGCTGATTTCGAACCCCACATTTACTGCTATCTCCTTGACTAGACCGCTAGTTAATTCAGATAAGGATGGGACTTCCATACAGCCGAGGCAAGCCCTGGTCTAACTAACAAGATTGAACGAATCATTATATCCACAGTCATCCAGATATATGAGATTCAAGCCAATCCTGGATAGCGTAAACAGCTTGAAACTAGAGTGCCCCCGAACTGCCCATGTACATCCAGGTCAGATGTTCCTTCAGTAACCCTGGCCAGAAACATGGACCGAAGTACGGTTTTCCGATGTGAGGTTACATAAACCGACCTAGTTTGGCAGTTATACGTAGAAAGTGACCTAGGATTCTGGCCATGCGGCTATCCTAAGGAACGGAGATTATACCCCAATGTCGAGGAAATCCGGTCTCAACAGCTCAAGACAAGGTATAGCTACATGAGCTACGGCCCGAAATTTGAGCGCCATTAGCGCCCTGGTCTTATCCATACGATCTGGGTTCATTTCTTGCGCAAAGTCTCTCGAGGACGCTGGGATAGCCTCCAATCATCGTCATGGATTTCGCGGTCAAAGTCTTGTATGTTACTGCAAGATATATGTAGCGCCTATTCTGGCCCTATTCGGCCTTCGGTTAACTCTTGCATTACGGCCAGCCACCTGCGAATACGTTCCCAGAACTAACAAGGTCATTGCGGAACTTGCACTTCCGATTCCTCCTTCCTCGATGTTTCAATTAATCCCGAGTTTCGGCGGGTATTATGCCTTACTTGACCTTGCTTTTTATACCCATTGGTATCCGTTCTGTATATATTGGCGAGCAAACTATCTCACACGTGTTCGGTAGGCCACCACTATATGCAGGAAATGACCCCGCTATCTTCATCAGCTGTTGCATATAGTGGGCGATTTTTCCACTGGGGACGGTTGTAACGGTCACAAATGGCTTAGGTAGCGTAGTTAATTTAATTATGCACTGAAGCCCACAAGGCTATGGTCTTTCCAATTTAAGCTTCTAACCACAACACTCACTGTGTAGACAACTATAACCCCTCAGTAATGAGGTTATACTTAATCTGAATCCTGTTTGACCCATCCTCCTTGAAGACATGATAAATAACTCAGGGTGTTTGTTTCGGAGTAAAATCAGGAGCTAGAATTTCGAAAAAGCGGCGGCATTGTAGTTACGGACTTGGCTTTTCTCTAAGAAAGTTATTTTTTTAGCCCATGTAATTATGCGATGCATCGTCGCTCGGATTATAGGAAGGATACTCCATTCCGTCCACTCAGTAGTGACCAAGATTGATTAGATAAGATTTTGTAGATATCAAAATCTGATAAGATCCATTCAGTTAACTGCTTACCTCATGAGTGAATTAATACGTGATGGAGGAGGGTTGCTAATTGGTTAATAAGTTATCTGATCCGCTAATTATCAACAAGCTTGGCGATAGAAAACCTTAAAAAGAGAACGACCAATTCTGCATCCTCAACTCCGTACACTCGTATGGAGTCAGAATCAATCAACAACTTTGTTAAAATTCGACATACAAACAGCTACCATGGTACAATTGCTCCATATCAATCTGGTATTGATTGATATTTTGCTTTATTTTGGTCTTTTTTTTGAGCGGTTCTCAAAAAAGAGGGGGAAAAAACACAATTCTTTCCATGAGTATATGACCTCGATGGGTAGTCAACTAAAATACCCCACTCACAGTGTGGACTGATTCGTGTGGCAAATGCGAAATCTCAATCATACCCATGCGTGGAATGGTCCCGATATCTCGGCGTGGTTGAGAAAGACAACTACTCAACTACAACCGGCCGGGCGAGCCCATCGTGGACGGGGTCGAAAGTACCCAGGTAGTCTGCTTTGTTCGGGACCGCAGAATTTTTCAATATTTTATCTGTGGGTCATGCTATTCCCGGTAAAGAGGAGAAATAAGAGAACCAACAGTTGTTCTATTGAGTCTTCTCACGGCATGCTCTTAATACAAGACCTAGGGGCCAAGGGTTCTCCGGTTGCCCCGAGTTAGGCGAATTCATAGCTAGGGCTGTAACTTATATATTACCCTGGGCAGCCTCTGGTTATGGTAGACTAGAAAGAGCCTTTCTGTCGAGTTAATGCGGCTTTTGACTTTTCTTTCCTTCCCCTATTGTATCCCGTCGATACGATTGCCTTCGACAGGGGAAATTTGAAGTCTACACTATGTTTTTGTTCAAGCTTCTTCTAGGAGCCTTGTTTATAAGGATTGTTTCATCAAGGGAACTGGCAAACAATGAAATATGCTTTTCTGCCGTTTACAGGGCATATAAACCTATAAAATTTGCCGGTCCTTCTGGCAAAAAACAATGGGTTATGTACTGCCGGAACCGTTTGAAGGTAGCATCTATATACGCATCTGCAAAAGTATACTGCCAACCCGAAGAAATACTTTCCGGAGTCGGCGTTCTTGAGGAGAATTGTCAGCGGCGCATCTCTCAGCCTTTGCTACCGATGTCAGACTTTGCTGCCAACCTTACCGACGAAACTATTGCTAAAATGAAAGTGATCGAAAACGGAGAAATACCGCCAGAGAAAAAGGTCAACACACCGGTTCTGATTTCCATGAAATTTTTCGATCTTTCATTGAAGACAGTTGTATGGAAGCCTCTAACTCAAAAAATATAGAAGAGATGCTGACAGCGCATAGGTCGTCAATAATACTGAAGTGAAGCACCGTCACCACTATGGGTAAACATTTATATTCTAATAATTGTGTCCTTTATTCCATACTCTTTTTTACTGACCTTGGTCTAGATTTGCTATGTATGGCATTTGGGGTACGGTTTTGGTCCTTGGAATGATCAACAACTTCTGCAAGTGGGCATTTTTTAGGCAGTCGAGGACGAAGAGGAGTGACTTGGAGGGCAGCTATGATCTTAAGCTCAAAAATCCCCATCGGGTTTTCAGGCCGTTTTTGTATCTCTCCGACTGGATTCAAACACACCTGACAATCCCGAGCACTTTTGGATCTTATCACTTGCGGACACTGTACGGGTGTGACATGCCAACCAGAATAGAAGCAATTGTGATATTCTCGTATTGGCTTATCATTGCGATCCTGTGCTGTGTCAACTATGACCTTTTCGCTGGGAATTTAAAGTATGTCTGCCTCAGTCCGGCTTTGTGGGAACCCTACTAACGACTACGTTCTTATCTATAGCATACCAAAAACAAATGCACAACTATGCCGGTATATTGCCGGTCGTACTGGGGTGCTTTCCTTCGCAAATTTGCCCCTCGCTTGGATGTTTGCAGGCAGGAACAATATATTCCTTTGGGCCACAGGCTGGAGCTTCCGAATGTTCAATATCTTCCATAGACAGGCTGCTCTAGCCGCAACTCTACTTGCCATTGCCCATTCCATCGCATTTACAATATTCTTCTTCTTAATAGGTTAGTGTAGCCGTATTTGGAAGATGCAATGAAAACTCGGCTGACCAGTTTCTTTCTGTTATTTAGGCTCGGGAATATATATCAAACGGTTTACAGAAAAATGGTTTTGCATGGGTGTTGTGGTTAGTGCATTCCTAAATGATCCACATACCTAAGTAATAATTAACCGGGACTTTACTAATGAATCTACAGGGAACTGTGGTAATGAGTTTCCTGGTAATATTCTCATGCCTATGGCTCCGAAGGAAAACATATGAGTTGTTCTTACTCATCCACATTGCATTATCTACTGTGACAATTATATCCATGTTTTAGTAAGTTTCAGCCAGAATGTGATATCTTTCACGACACCTGCTCATTTTGTTATGTTAGCCACATATCCGTCTATGGAGGCGAATATGACCCTTACCTTTGGCCACTTGTTGCTATATGGGGCTTTGAGAGGACTCTGCGCATTATTAGAATCATATACTGCAACCTTCGAGTTCGATTCGCTGGAGGTGGTCTTCAATACACGAGTTCTGTTGCTTACTACGACGAGGTTTCAGATATCATCAGGCTGGAGGTAACACCAGCTGCAACCGGTATCTCTCAAAAGCCTGGACGGTATTACTTTTTGTACCAGCCCTTCAGATGGACTGGGTATGAGAGTCATCCATTCACCCTCGGGGCATGGGCCGAGACTTCCAAGGTGGCCACTGAGAAACTTTCAGAGACTGGCTCTTCTTCTCCAGTTGAGAACAGCAAAAGTGATGGAGTGCAGCAGGTCGCCAATGTTTCCAAGGACCAAAATCCAAGAGGCAGCCCATCCAATGAGACAACCTACGTATTTTGGATACGACCGTATAATGGGTGGACTCGCCAACTTCGTGACCAATGCTTGAAGTCCAGTGGCACTGCTATCTCAACTACATTGCTATTAGAGGGCCCATATGGCGACTCTGCTCCTCTGTGGGCATACGAATCGGTTCTATTCATCGTTGGTGGTACAGGTATTGCTGCTGCTGTGCCTTATATCCAGGATCATATCCGACGCGCATCTGCGACCGGAACAGGTACATGTACAAAGGATATGACACTTGTTTGGTCAGCGAGACAGGCTTCCTACGTTCACAATGTAGCCTCTAGGGAGCTACAGCCCGCCCTTGAGCGTGGAGACTTTTCTGCTTCCTTCTATTTGACGAGTGGTGACAAGAGTGCTGCGTCTGCCGTTCCTTCCCCAGCCTGCACGAACACAACGTCGTCCTTGGACACTAATGTTCTAGATGAGCTGACCAAAGACTCCAAGCTGCAGTCTCTCACTGCAATTCCGAAATACGAGGTGAAATATGGGAGACCAGATACTAAGTCTATTATTTTGGAGCGGGCAAAAAGCGCAAATGCGGCCAACTCGCGGCTTGCTGTACTTGTCTGCGGTCCGGATAGTCTAGCAGACGAAGCAAGAGAGGCAATCCACAACGCTATGCTCCAGGGATATCGGCAAATCAGGTACATTGAAGATGCGTACAGTTGGTAGTCCTTAACATGACTATTTCTCCATTTGCATTCATTGTTTAGTCCTTTATTGCCTTGCAGACTTTTGAATTGATGTTTGTTCAGAAATATGTGTTTCTGTGGCAGTATTTCTGCTATGGAGCAAGGATGAGAAGTATATAGTTAGACCTTGGATTTATATAGAGCTGTCATTATTAGTTACGAACGATTAAGGATTTAAGTAGTCATTGATCCGGCCTTGCACACCTAGGGGAGCGGCCAGAGCTGATAGTCATCACGTGTAACTGATTAAACTGGTTGGGGACCCCGGTTGATGGTAACTAGACCTTAATCCTCGACTTGTAACGGGCCTGCCTACCACGAGCCTGCAATAACTAGACCATCCAATGAGAGATGACATATACGGCCTGAGAAAATCTTAATTAAAACACGGGGTAATAATATACGGAGGCAGACTGGCGAGCTCGAGCCTCAAAACGGGTTCCATATTTCGAGATGGGCAAGTCGAGCTTCTCCGGTGGTTGACAGCACAGCCCAGGCAGCGTACGAGCTCCTGGCCGCAGTCCCTGTTGGTATTCATCAGATCTCGATCTCGTTTATCCCTGATATGGTCCGTTCAAGTGTTCAAGAAAGTAGAGGGATGATGTGTCACCAAGCCAGGGGTTCAAGCTTTAGCTCCTGCAAGGCAAGGGAGGATCAATGCTTGTATTTCACCGGCCTCGCTCGGCGGCAAGAACAAGCCAAATGTAATATTAACGCGCCAGTGGGTCAACAGGTCGAGAACGTCGTGCATCGTCCCTCATCCAGGCATGTCAAGTTATCAAGTTGCCAGTCAGTCCCGATGCAGAGGCCATCCGTCTCGCTTGTGAAGCTTGTGACAGATCTTGGCCATGTGTTTGAACTGCTTGATCTCTGTAAACTGGAAGTTACTCTCAGTCGGGCAAATATCTAAGCAGCTATATTAAGACGTATGATTGGTTAAACAAATACTCTCTGGAACTCTAGAAATACTCACCTGGTGTCCTACTCCTTAAGGGAAGAAACTGCATGTCATTTGGTGCGTTAGTTAGCTGTTGACTTATGGATTCAGGGGTGTGAGAGCATGCGTTGAGAGTACGGAGTACTGGCAACCAAAACCCTAGAACAGAACACGGGTAAGCAAAGTACAGGGGATAAATTGTGAGCGTCTAATTATAGAGAGGAATCATTACATCGGCCCAATATGTACGTCTAGGATTCAAGCTTTGGAGGTCGATGATTTTGCCATCTTGTATGTAGAACCATAGCACAGCGCACTGCTTCTCCTTATACACGTCGATATCCACCTGGATATTGATTTCTTGCTAATTAGCTGTCTCAGGATCATCATGGACGGCCTCAAGGTCGGCAATCCGTGTTGGTATGTCTCACTGGATGGGCTTAGGACAGATGGGTAGCGGATTGCCTCGAACTCATGATGTTAGAGAGTGATGATCTGAGTGAGACGTAGAAGCAGAAGCAGAAGAGGTTGTATCAGTAGACGTAGACGTAGAGGTAAAAGGACAAAGCTGACCTGAGGAAGCAGGAAAAAGAGAAGAAGAGAACGCAACGAGAGATTGAACTAAAGAGGCATGAGGTCGCGGCGCGGCACAGAAGTGTCACGTGATTTTCTTGTTTCCAATCCAATAGGTAACTACCGAGGTTGTCCATACTTCTAAGTTACTAAAACCAACTAGAACTGTTGGATATGACTTGAGCGGTAACTTGATTAGCGGCAACAACCGGGGAGAGAATGCCTTAGGTCTTCAGGCCACATATCAAAAAACCCACGGCGTGATTGATGGAAGGCCAAATCCACCTTGAAATCGATGACCTTCCTCTCGCAGCTGCTTCCAAAAGGCTTTCACAACTCCAGCAATACTTCAAACCCGATAACCCGAGATTTGAGACAAACCCTGGTGAAAAAGGCGAAAAGGAACTTGATACTATCCGCGAGAGAACAATGGGAGACAAAGACCCGATTACTTGCCATGTGCTAAACACTTATACTGGTCGCCCAGGAGCAGGAATTCTATGTGTTCTGACGTTGGTCAATTCCGAAGTCAAACCAACTTCTCCTTCATCTTCCACAGCCGACAAACAGCCAATGTTCACAGCAAATACAGATTCGGATGGGCGGGTCAAAAATTGGTCTAGTGAGAGCAACTCTTTATCCGTTTCTTCTATCTTAGCACAGCTGCCCAACCGAGCGGGGTCAAACACATCACGCTCAACCTGGAGCCTTCGGCTCTGTGGAATTGACGAGTGGTACCGTGAGCAGGGTGTTGAGGATTGTTTCTGGCCAGAGGTGGAAGTGCGATTCGCAGTTGACGGCAGAGAGGGCGAGGAGGGATGGAGGCACTATCATGTCCCTGTGCTACTCGGACCATGGAATTATTCCGCCTATCGTGGATCGTGATAGTTGGTGTTATATGCGAGAATGCTTGGAGCTCTGGCGTCATAATTCAGCGACTGCCAGCCAGATACTAGTCAAAAGACGTATTTGTCCAATAGAATGCTTCCAAAGCTGCTACATTTGACTGCACGGACTTATATAACACAAAATGCAGACTTATATTACCAGGACTGTATATGTGCCTGGTCGTTAAGATACATTCATCGTGCTTTGCCGTAGAGACATAAACAATGCTGACTTCCTAGCTAAAGGGCCCTACGGACCATAGAAAGCATGTACCTAGGTAAACATTGCAGGCTACCCCCTGCTAGTGGTTTCCATTTCCCCGGATGCAGCTTCCTATCGAAATCCATCGGTATGATGACATCCAGGAGAGAATGCGGCCTTTATTAGAAGTAACAATCGCAAATAGAATAAACAAACTTGGGTTTGATAAGCATCTCTTCCTCCTTCCTCAGCTTTCATATTACCGCCTCCCTTTTCACCTATCACTATCGAGTTTACCATGATATTGTTAGGGCCTGGGGAGTTTCGAACCGAATATGATGGGAATATTACCAGAGCTGGTTTTGGGTAATGGCATTTGTGAGATATTCTCTCATAATGTCATAGGCTTGAGGTCTATCACTGTATCAACAATGGTATACTCATACCATTATCCTTGAAACATTCTCACGTAATGTCGGTAACTGGACAGCCTTCTTTCTTTCAAAAATGATAAAAAGGACAATACAATAATAATAATAATAATAATAAAGTGGAAAGGGTAATGCATTCGACTTGGGAGTCAAATATCTTACTCTTGGCCATTCCGCCTTCTTGTTGTGAAACCGAACGGACCGGAGAGAAGACTGCCGTACAATGTCCCGCTGTCAAGATAATCCACAGACAAAACATGTTGGCATTGCATTCAATATGCATAAGTCTGAGCTTTGGGTATTTGATATTGAGTAGAGTGGGCCTGTGAAATCCTTAGCCATGGCAGTGGGTATAACACTCATCGCTGGGCGAGTCGAGCGCGGCAGGGAAATGGCACCTAGGAAGTTTTTAACACTATCACTTATTAACAGTCTGAAGGACTGGTTGAGAAGAATAGTTAACCGCGCTGGGGAGGCCTGCAGTTGGTGTAGTCGGGGAGTTCTTTCGTCATCGGCGCGTGCTGGTTTACTAACTAAGCGGCTAGTCAGCTAAGTTAGCGAGCAGGATGCAGCGCTAAGAGCGATGTGCTCACCGAGTCGGACCTGCAATTGCATGCGGCAGCGAGGCTCGCCCAGCGCCTGCACACCCCACCGCAGGCCCCCATGCTGCCCCCCATGCCGCCCGCTGCCTCCCGCTGCCGCCGCCGTCCATCTAATCTCATCTTATCAGACGTCTCCATCGCCCTTCTTTTATGCTTTTAACGTTTTATGCTTAAGCGAGCTTCCGTCGTGCCAAGCCTCTGCCAAGAACGATGACTAAGCCAACGACATCATCAATGTCGTCAGAGTTTTTTCGCCTTCGCTCTCTGCTATTTTTTCTTTTACTTGCTTTCCTCCCCAGCGGAAAAAAAAGAAGGTCGCTCTGCATCGTCATCCCATCGTCATCCCATCGTCATCGCTCGATGAACGGCGCACAACCCACAACAACAGACACTTTTCGGCGTGAATCCACAAGCTTGCGCCCGTTACTCGCACTTAATCCACCCAGCCAGTCTCGAGCGGAGTGAACCGCTGCCTCGACTCTTGTTCCTTGCGGTCGGCAGAGGACTCGAGGAGAGATCGTCGCTGGACGCCCGTCTCGTCTGCTCTTTTCGTCCGATTTCAGCACCACCGCTCCCTCCAGACACACGCTCCCTCCCTCTTCGCCTGTATATACCATGTCCGCCCCAGCCAGCAAGGCCGCGTCGCCGCAGGCTGGCTTGCCGGCGTCTCGCACCGATTCACCAATGGATGCGAAAGACTCGAACGAGAGCGTCAAGTCAGAAGGTCAGCAGCCAGCTAGCTAATTTCTTCCTACCCATCATCACCACCCTCGTCACGTCACTCTCTACAGGCACCATCCTCAGCTGGTGGATGGACCTCTTACTGTGATCTATTGTGCCTCCTCTCTCTTTGTCGTCCCTGGTGTTGGTGGTTCGCTCAACTTACTTTCAGAGTTAACACTCCTGTCTCCTGTCTGTCACCACTGACATCATCCCGTTTAGATCGTGGGACAACCCAAATCGATGTCCCTGAGACCATCGTCACCACTTCATCCTTAGATGCGCCGTCTACTATTCCGGCTCCACAGAAACCAGGTGACGATGCAAGTGGTGATTACTTCTCGGGCATCCATAACACCAGCCACCTGTCCTTTGAGCCCAACCCGTTCGAACAATCCTTTGGAAATACAGGCAGTGATACCCCCGGGAAATCTATTCTCCCACCTGTCGCTTCTTTGACCTCCCCTGCCATGCCAGGCACCTCAACCAGCGGCGGGTTCAATTGGCCAAACTCGCTCCGTGCTGGTCCACTAAGCCCGGCAATGCTTACAGGGCCTGCAGGGCCAAGCGACTATTTTGATGGTATAACTCGCGGGTTCCCTACCCCTAATGAGTCCTCGTTGCGTACTGGCTTAAATGCTGGCCTGACTCCTGGCGGTGGTGGCTCTATGTTCCCCGCCCCCAGCCCCGGACCTGCTGGTTTACTTCAGCAACTCTCCAGCGGAAATACCACTCCTACTACTCTAGATTTCCAGAGGACAGCCATCACAGCAGCAAAGAAAAATGGCTACCTTGCGCCTACTTCTAACCCTGGAGAGGCAGACTCGATTCTCCAGCAAGTTGCTGCCTCGATGGAGAAGCCCCAGTCCTACCCATTCGCTCATGCTGATGCTACTGATGCTGCCAATGGCCTCTTCATGCTAGCTAAGGGTGCTCAGGCTACGAGCAACCCTTTCCCTGGCCCAACCTCGCAACCTATGCAAATGTCACTGCAGAATAACGATAATAATAGCCCACCATTGAATGGGGTTTCTCCTCAAACCAATGAGTCGAATGGCGCAGCTCCACCATCCAACGGAAACGTCTCTGATAGCCCTGATACGAAGATCAATACTCGTAGCAAAGGCAAGAAAGGTTCCACTGCCAAAGGAGGCACTACAAATGGCCGCAGAAAGGCCGAAGACGCTCCCAAGGGATCAAATAAAAAGCAAAAGGCTTCAAATGCTGCCGCCGACAAGGCACAACCTCCTACCGATGATGACTCGGTCGAATTTGATAATGCCGATGGTGCCGATAATGGTAATAGTAATGGTGAAGGCGAAAATAACTCTACTGGCAACAAGAAGGCCATGACAGACGAAGAAAAGAAGAAGAACTTCAAGGAGCGTAACAGGTATGCCAAACCGCAACACACATGTATTATGCTACACTTCGTATATCTTGAATTAGCCTTCTAACTTTTTACCACAGGGTTGCCGCCCTTAAATGTCGTCAACGAAAGAAGCAATGGGTTGCCACCCTAATGAGAAAAGCAGAAGCATACTCTAGCGACAACGAAGCTTTAACAAGCCTTCTAGAGAAAGCTAGAGAAGAAAATGCAATGCTAAAATCGATGCTTTCGGCGCACAAGGACTGCCCCGTTGGCCAATCCCAAGGGCTCGCCATCCTCTTAAACGGACTTCAAATGGCCAGCGGTGTACCTAATGGATTACCAACCGGCCCGCAGAATCCTATACCCAATGGACTCCAATCTGGAATTCAGAGCAGCATCCAGAATAGTATGCAGAACGGCATGCAGAACGGCTTACCAGTGCAAAATGATCTTCTAGCGCCACAAAACTGGCAACTTCGTCGATGAACTACCACCTTTCATCGTCACTTATACTTCCCTTCACATCTTCTGCCTCCTATATTCCTTGTTTCATGATTTTACTGTTTTCCACGAGTTAACCTGACCGATTGGGTGTTTTTGATTTCCAAAATTTTCTTGGGTATGGTGTGGTGATTCTATATCTGTGGTCTTGATGAGCCACAAATTGCAAATCCAAGAAGACAAAAAAATTCTTGATTGCTCCTTTTTCTTTCTCCTTACCCTTTTCATTACTCTTCTTACACTCCCTGCCCCCCCTTTATATGTATCTTTATCCCATTAATTCCTTCCACTTCTTCACACCCATCATCGAAAAAAATACCAGGGGGGAAAGGTTGGAGCAAAAATGGTGGAGTTTCCTGGTGTTCTAGTTTTTGCATTGTTCACGTCTCTATGTTGGTTCTCTCCCTTTATTTGGAATTTCATGTCTCGACGTCCGTCGCTGGTGGCATTGGTTTACGCACTTCATACGACTCCAATGAAAGGCAGGAAGGGAGGAGATTTGTCATAATTATCAATGTTCCATTCTTATTTGCTTCGTCGTTTCCTCTTCTCCAAGGTCATTACAGGTGCCATCCCTTCGTTTCTACACAGACCGATCTCTGCTCTTTTTCTTTGCCGCTCCGAAGAAACTCTAGAGCCTGATAAAAGCACTCTATGACTAGAAGACCCTTTATCTCTCGAAATTTTCAACTCGATAGTTCAGTTCGATCCAAATCATATGAACTTTCAAAGTCTTTCCCCATTCCCCTTTCCCCTCCATCCCAATAATCTTCACCACTTAGATTTGCCTTGTGTCGCCGAGTTGGCAGTGTGACGACCAATTATGCCGCGTATATCACCATAGTTTACGTAGTTGTCGTTGAAGTTTATGGTAAATAGGAAACATCAATTTTTATAAGACGAGGCCTCGGCAGCTAATGAAGCCTTGGACTCCCGGTGGAAATCCGCTGGGATCTGCCAACCATGAGCCTTGCACGCCCTAATGAATGCTTCCACAGCCTCCGCAACACCGTATTCCAAAACCCTACCCTTCCGTGCATCCTGGCCAGGAACCAGTCTTGCAGGTTGAGGGTCTGTACTAGAAATTGCCAGGCGAACCTGCAATAAAACACTCTCGATGCTAGACACAGCGGACCAGCCAGAATTTGTTAGTAGTTCCATGCAAAGTGCGCCACCAGCGGTGACATGGCCACCTCCGCCTTGTTGAAATCCCAAAAATCGAGGGCGAATGACCCGAACAAACGGTGGCGACATTGGGTATTGCTGGGGGAATCGAACTTCTAGAACAACAGACTTGATTCCCGCTTTTGCCATATCCTTGGACAGGGGGAGCGAAGGGTCAAAGGAATGTAGCTCCACAATCCATTGGTAGACATTGTTCACTAGGTTTGGGTCAATATACCAGCCCAGATCAGCCAGCGGCTCGTTGTCCTGAATGCGAAGCGCTCCTCGTAGGTCACGCTGGAGAGACGCCGTTGCTGAAGGAGTCGCATTGTCTGGAGCTGCTATCATAGGGAGAGACGCTGGATCCAGGGTCCCGGGGATAAAGTCTGTTTCATTCTGGGCCTTGTTTTTGCCCTTGGTGCCACTCTCTTCAGGGGCCTGCTCTGGATTGTTGCCTCTAGCTTGTTTACTTCTGATGCTATCAGCCTCTATATGGATATTAAGATCATCAACATCTGTCTCGTCACTGAGATACCCGTCGGACTCCGCATGATTGGGTTTGTCTGATGTAAACAAACCAGCAGTCTGCTGGGAAGTGGTATTATCAGTGTAATAACGTGCGGTTACTCCCGCATGGCTGTTCGCCGAGCCGGAAGTGGAACCTGGGCCCTGAGCAGCTTGGCTCCGGGGTATCGGTGATTTAGAGATTGAATTAGCTCTCTTGGTTGACGAGCTTGCAACGCCGTTACCTTGTTTTGTAGAGAGATTAGTAGGAGTGCTTGCCGGAGGATGGCTGACAGCTGTCATGCCCAAAGCAAGGCGGCGCTTCTGGCTGAATGCCGACAAAGGAATTGTGATTGTCTTGTAATTTGGGCCTAGGGCAACGTATTTCGGATCTTGATGATAATATGGAAGTAATTTTGATGGCGAATTGAGGCCAATTTCCTTGTTCAGGGAGCATCGAACAAACAGATATCTCGTTTGAATCCAATCCAGCTGAGATACAACCAAGTGTGGTGAGGTGTTGACAAACTCACTAGGAGAATTTACCACTTCGTTTAACGATATCGCGCCTGTAACTCCTAACTTGCTGTTGGGCCAGGTTTCGGTAGGAGACCCAAAGCTCAGGCCTAAATTAGGACTAATGTAGGCTGCAGACGTAGTAAAGCTTGTGCTCATGTAGACACCATCACCAAATGCTCGCCCATGCATGATTTCCTTGAAGTGCAATCCTTCGCGTAGAATGCCGTGCCAGTTCGAGAGGTGGCTACCATGCCAGGCAAAAATAGTAGCATGAGGGTGAATAAAATTTTTATTTTTAGCCATGACGGCTTTAAAAAATCGTTCCTCCTTGTCTGGAGCCCCCTGCGCAAAACGAAATTGCATATAGCCAGGAACTCCACCAACACGGTCATCATTGGCTTGATCGGCGTTAACACTGTCCTCTGTTGGATCGGGGTCGTCTTGAATGATGCACGAACGGTTTGATGCAACTATCCATCGTAACAGATCGAGAGCTGATTTTGAAATCCTATCTTTCCATTGTGTAAGCGTGGGTTGTGAGCCCCTAGAGTTCTCCATCAGGTACTGTTTCATTTCAACGACCGTTGGAAGGGTATCAAGAAGAGATACTACCATTTGATGCTGTGCCTTTGGACTGAGGTCATCGAAGTTCTGTCCATACCAAGCAGCCTTGACCAATTTTGGAATTGGCATTGTCTTATCCTCTATGGCCTCTCGAGACTTTGATACCTTGATTGGGCTTGAAATGTCAACCGAAGGCCAAAAGCTTGTATTGGTGACACGACAATGGAGGTAACGTCCTTCGTCGATAATGACTAACCAGTCTCCAGTGCATACTCGATGGCCCGGGACGCTTCCAGCAAAATTCATAGTCATACTTGATTCGTCAAAGCTTACTTCAAAGCGTATTTCCCTGTGAGAGATGGCTGTAGATTCCGCCGCATCATTGCAGAGATTTTTGTAATTTGCATCGTGCATGCCACCTGGAACCATAATCCCAAGTCCTGTAGGTGGGTCGACGAGGCGGCTCCGAATCGCGCTAGAATAAGTAAAGCTGACCAGCAAGTCAACCACATAGGGTTGTGTCATGATCTCCCACTCCAAGCTAGGCCCGAATCCTAAAGTCATGTATTGGAATAGGCACAAGCTCTTGGAGCAAACATAAGGCTTTAAAGCCTCGAAATTATCATTTGTCTTGCAATGACAGACAAGACAGAACTCCGTGCATCTTACGAAATGACGGAGCATGAACTGCATAGCTATCAGAGGGAAGGAAGCTCCTGAGCCATTCTTTTCCAATAGATGATCTGCTGAGAGGGCCCTTGGGAGCATTGCAGCTTTCTCTTCAGAAATATCCGGCTCTTGGTAGATATGAGAAATTGGGTCCGAGCTGCCGACGGGTTTACCCTGACATTCGTTGAAAACCGTTCTGCTCCAGACCAAGTTTGACCAAAACTGTGTCTATAGCGCAGTATCTTGATAAATCTTTCATTAAACAAGGCATTGAGAGGCCCGCTAATAAAAGAGTACACAATATCGTCATTGTTGGGTGGGCTATTCCCACATATAGCAATGCGGGACTTTGCGCCTTGGCCAACTTGGTCAAACATCTGGAGGGCGGTGCTTATAGAGGGTTTATACACGTTGCAAATGCCAACGCGTACCTCGACTGATGATTTTCCGGATAGTTCATCCTCGAGGAGCAGGTTTTCCAGAGATTGATATTTCCCAATGTACCGAATAAGACAAACCAAATACTGCTCCTCCTTGATGTGCCATGCCTTCATTGCGTCTTCTGATATTCCAAGTTTAGAAATGCGGCATGAAACAGAAACAATGGGGCATAGTTTATTTCCTAGATATCCAACGCGGAAGCCGGCCAATTTCGCAGTTTTCAAGTCTTCTGATATCTTGCATAACAGTTCCTCAGAATCTTGTATCTCTTCTGTGATAGTGTCCGAGTGAGTTAGCTGGGTCTGCTGCGGAACAGGAGACCAGTGATATTCGTCATCATTTAGATCCGGAATAGCATCTTCTATTCCAGAATAAACCGAGTCCTCATCATCATTTAGAAAAAGGTCGTCAGCAAAGTCGCATTGTCCATCATCTTCCGGTTCTATTTTGTTCTGGAATGTATAGCTGAGCTGCGATAACATGTCCGGAATTTCCAGGCGGCTAATTGCCTGCTGAGCTTGTTCAAGCACTTCTGTAACGTACTGAGGGACATCTTCGGAGGTAGTGTAGATAAGAAACTCATGCTCCTTCGGGTACAGTGAGATGTCTAGGCAATAGTTATTAGCTAGTGAGCTCCTGAGGGCGCATTCGTATATATATATATAAGGACTTACCTGTGACCATGAACTCGATGTCCACCGACTGCTTGGGGTCTTCACTGAGAATCAAGGAGCAGGACAAGGTGCCATCGTCCTCGCCAGACGTCACGTTCGTCAAAGCTGGGAACCTCCCGGGCGTAGAAGCCTCGTGGAGGTCGTGGAGAAACGCCTTTCTAGGCATTCTCAAGGCCGAACAGGGTATCTATGCAGTTTATGTCCAGTAACTGCACTTTTTGTGTCCATCAATAACCAGTGGCTTGAAAACATAGAACCCCAAACCCCACTAGGAAAGGTGACAGAGCAGGATAAGAAGGAGAGAAGAAGGAGAGATAAATAGAAGAAGAAGAAGAAGAAGAAGAAGAGATGAGAGGAAAAGGCAAGTGAAAATGACACCCAAGAAGCAGGTAGACGCCGATGCTGTGAATATAAGCGGGCAGGCATAAAGGTGGGAGGCAGCCCAGAAACTGGCAGAAGGACAGAAGGACAGAAGGACAAGGACAGTGAGGCAAAGAGGCCGGCAACAAGAGACCATGTCAATTCCCACTCTGTCTCGCTAACTTCCGGTTCTTTGATAAACACATATGAAAGAGAGCATGTACGCACTGTGGTATACAGGGAGGCAGGCAGTCGGCTACTGTGGCCCTCGGAGGATATTGACGTCGACACAGCAGCAGGCTGGCTGGCTTTGCCGCCCATCCCACCAGGCGCACTCGACCAAAGACTGCGGCCTCGTTGGCCCGCGGCGACGCTGGTCGAAGAGCGTCATCGCCCGGTGTTTGTCTTCGTTGCTTCCTCGTCTCGAGAGTTCGGTTTGACTTGGTTGTTATTCTACTAAGCAGTAGTTAGTTGACTTGCGACTTTCTGGAGAGCAGCAGCCTCACGTAAGCCCGCCCGCCCCCCAGGCTGCAGCGGGACGCCGGCCAGCACGACGCCCACTCTGCCCGCTGCATCCCGGACGGCCCCTGTGGACGGGTCCCGGCGTTCTGATACATCGACCTGCTGCTGCTGGCTGCTCCGGAGCCATTGACCGTCCCCTCGCGGCCAGAAGAAGGTGGTTGGTTCGTGGCCGTTTGCCGGCAGTGCTTTTTGAGTTGACGTCAACGCTCCACCTCCTTTTAAGCTTGAACTGACGAAACCTAGTTAGTTGCCGCAAGCCGCCTCCTAAATTTTTCTTATTTTTTATTTTTTAATTCTTTTTATTCTTTTTATATGTTTTCTTCTCTGCTTTGAAAACACGACCACCTGTTCGCCTGGCTGCTTGCTGCTCGTTGGCGTGGCCGGTCGAGTTCTTGTGGGATAGGCATAGCTACTGGGACCAAGATCTACGGGAACATGGCTCAACGACCTGGCCCGCAGAGCGAGGATGCGCGGAAAACCTCGTCCTCCCCAGCTGAGCCGCTGCTGCCGGAGTTCTCAGACCCTTCGTTCGACCCCGTCGACTTCCTCAACGACACTCTTCCGCCGCTGAGCACTTCGCAATCGCGCTCAGCGGGCGGCAGTTCAATCGCCGACGTCTCTGCTCGGACCCAATCGCTGCTCTCCCAGCTCACCGCACAAAACGCCCGGCTGTCAAACACGCTGAACCAGCTTACAGATGAGATAGTACGAAGCAGCGGGCGGCTGGCGTATGAGGTTGAGGTCCTGCGTGGAGAGACAATCGGCCTTTCAGACACCCTTACAGATACGCTACAGGATGATATTCGCAGCTTCCTACCCCAGGGCCTGCCCGAGCCCGACACCGCCGCACAGGAGGAGGATGTACACCGGGAGGGGCAAAAGGAAAAAGAGTCAGGCACCAAGACGCAGCCGGAGATCACACAAGAGGATCCAGAGTATATATCTCGTCTACGGACTTTGATGCAGGTCAGAACGCGGCTGGAGGAGGTCATACAGGTATTTGGAGATGCAATGGAATGGCCGTTACCTCCCTCAGAGGTGTCGATTACCTCCTCCTTCATATCTGTGTCCGCTCCAGAAGCTGGCCCTGAATCACGGAGCCTGGAAGAAAAGGGGCGCGAGGTAGCTAAGAAATTCAGATCACAGGTCACCGGGCTGCTGGACAGCAACGGTGGAGGAGAAGCCGGTTTGGAAGCAGCAGCTCGTCGAGTTGAGGAATTACGGCTCCTCGCGGGCGTATGGAAGGGCACAGTAGAAGAGAAACCGAGACTCAAGTTTGTCGACAGCCTTACAAAGATTGTTGAAGACAGGCGGAAGGTCCTCGAAAACCAAGCTAGGGAAAGAGAGGAAAAGGAGAACCGAAAGGCTGGTGGGACTGCCTCCAAGGGTAGAACTTCCGAGCTTCCTTCACGCGAAAAGCCGGAGAGTACTGGCAGTGGGCTAATGCGCAATTTACAACGTCTGAGAGATGAGATATACCTTGAATAGATCTAACCAGTTTTCAATAATACGCACAGTTCTGCAAATGATCAACTGTGCCTATATTTGAAGCGAACTATTGCTGCTTTAATTACCCACCCTTCCACCTTTTTATTGTTCAAGAATATATTAGCACAATTTCAAAACATGGGAAGGGTTTTATTATTCACTAGAAAAAAAAGAATTTTATATATGCGCAATCAAGTCCCCTTATCTCGGGCAGACTCAGTCAATTTGCATTCCTGACACAGTTCTGGGCAATTAGCCCCTATAGAACTTGCAGCTATCATTGCATTATTAGATAAAGCACTGGCTATTGCTAGAGTAATATTAACCAACTAGCAAATGTGTACTTTTTCAGAGGAATCCCATTTGAAAGTACATCCAATAGCGCAACCAATTCGCGAATTGTCACTCGCGGGGTTAACCCCTTCGGTGGAAATCTCCCAATAAAGTCGTGGGGAGCACTCATAAAGTTCCTATCCAAGCAAATCAGTCATTGAAGGGAAGTGGCGGGACGGAGTTTTTCTTACTCGTACTCTATCCAAATCAAGAGTTCTTCATATTTCAGTCCATCTATCCCAAGGATAGGCGGCGCGGTGTGCTTTAGATACCGTGAGATAGAAGAAGTTTGAGAGACAAGGTTGCTCAGCTTTCCTCCATTGTTTCTTCAGGTTCTTCCTTTGCGGGCTCTTTTTTAACCAGAGTCTCCCTAACGATTCTTAGTATTTCTGCAACGTCCTCATCCGCTAGTCGCTCCTCTCGGTCTTCTATAATTGTATCGAGGAGCGCTAGGGCTCCATAGTCAACGCCTGCGTCACCAGTTTCGCCGTCTCCGTCTTGCATGGCCGTATCTTCAGCAGCGTCTCCTTCTGGCTTAGCTTCAAGGCCAACCCCTAAATTGATAATCATCAATACCTCTGCCTTCGTCAGGTTGAATGGTTTCAAACTCGAGATCAGTGTTCGAAGTGCAACGTCCAGGTCAGTTGTTGAACTATCCCCAGTAGCATTCTCGGGAGATATAGACGTAAAGCTAGGATATGATAGGAGGTGGGGGGAGAGCCGAACGACATAGTCATTGTACTAGGATCAAGATCAGCAATGCAGATCCTCAAACAACGGATTTAAACGAGTTCTAACCTCTTTTACCACTGTGTTGTAGTCTCTCAAGTCTGGCTTAGGCACAAAGTTCTTCGCATTCGGGAGAGGTGCTTGTGCCGATAGGCGCGGAGGGTTGGACTTCAAGTAAGCCAGCACTTCCACATTTGAAAGCGTTGCAGCTTGAGGATCAAGAATCTGTTACATATCGTTGGATCGTATGTTCCTTGTAAACAGCCGGCTAATAGGGGCTTACCTTCATATCTAATGGCAATCAATCCAATTCACCACGTCCAACTTCCAGCTCTCAAAGCTTCGCAACCTGCAATTTTGGGATATAGAAGTGATTATGTAATATGGAAAGCTTCTTCATGGATCATAGTTAATCCATTTCCGGTTATTCTGGAATCGGGCTCTGATTGGCCAGCGTTCCTTCAGCCTCTCTATTACATCTGCAAATCATCGCAAAGCCGAGGTACGGAGGGAAAGAATATCTATGCTTTAGAAGAGCTAAATGTAAACGAATGCAACAACAGTACAGGGACGCCCGAAACTGGTAATTTAAACAATCAACTACAGGGCTCCTTTGACCTGGAGCAATGGGATGCCTCGTCCGGACATAAGGGCAGTCTGGAAAGGCTGATTCCGAGTTTACAGAGTACAGCTACTGAAATAGCAACACGGCTATAAAAAAGAAAAGGTGGTATAAAAGCTTCAATGGCTGATAAATATGAAGTATCTGAACACTTTTCCTTTTGTACTGTGTCTGAAGAAACCAAATTGAAATGAACCCCAAGCGCCGCCATAAAAGATCCCAAAGGAAAATGACAAGAAAAAAAAATCAGAAAAAGTCGAAAGATTCAAAGAAATAACATCTCGCCATAAGTGATGCCACCCTATCAAAAAGAAGACAGAAACCAAGACACCAGGAGCTGGATATGATACAGCAACAAAAAGGATCAGACGGCATTGAGGGTATTATGCGCATCAATTAGGCCTTGCTCTTCTTCTTCTTCTTCTTTTCACCCTTGGATTCTTCGGCATCATCGCCAACATCTGAGCGCTTTCTCTTCTTGCCTTCCTCTTTCTCAGCCTTCTTGGCTTCCTTCTTGGCTTTCTTCAGCTCCTTCTTGCTAATAGCGGTTGGGTTGCCGTCCTTATCAAAGGAAATCTCGCCTCTTTCAAGCTTTCGGAGGTATCGCTTGACACTAAGGCCGGCCTTCTCAGCAAGTTCTTCAACGTTGTCGTCACCACTTGTCTTTGACTTCTTCTCCTTCTTAGATTTCTTCTTGGGCTTCTCTTCCTCAGATTCATCTGAGTCGTCTTCGTCCTCCTCGTCTTCTTGATCAGCCTCCTTCATTTCCTCATCCTCAGCTTCAACTTCCTGCACCAGTTTACTCTTCTTATCCTTCTTGTCTTTTTTGGACTTCTTCTTCTCGGGTTCGTTGCCGGCCAGGGCATCAGCGTCTGTGTTGTACTTCTTGGTTTCTTTGACTTCCCACTTCTTGGAAACAGCAGATTCAACTCCGTTCGGAGCAATAGCCACACCCCTAGCTTTAAGTGGCTTTCCTTCGAGGAATGCAAGTTTCTTCTCGAGGTAATACCTCGACTCCATACCGAGGGCACTCTTCTCTTCTTCGGTGGGCTCGTTGCCGTCAGCATCAGTAGTCCAGTCACTCAACGCGTCAACACGGAGACCAATTGCAGCTTTGGCAGCCAGAACTCGAGCCATTTTACCCTTGTTCTTACCAGTAGCTTGGCCAATGAGGGAAGCGTGGTAGATCAAACCGTATTTGGGGGTGTCATGCTTGGTCTTAAGAGCACGGAACAAGGCCTTCTCAGCACCAAGAATCTGGATAGTACTTGCAGGACTCTTAGAGAGATTCATCAAGCTACCGGCATGCGCAATCAATCGAGCACCAACCAGGTCGCCAACCAAGGCAGTAAGATTAGGAGCAATGGCAGCCATACGAGCAGAGAGGTAGTTCGCAAGCTGTTGGCGGTATTCGGAGAAAGCAACAGCCTGTTCAGCAAGTGATTGAATATTCTCAAGATCCTCATTGCTAATCTCAGTTCCCATGGACTTGTTGGCGGCCATCTTGACGGCGGTTTCAAGCTCCTCAGGCAGAATTTCCGAAAGGTCTGTAGTCTCAGAGTCACTACGGATACCCATCTTAAGGACAACCTTAGCATAGGCCATGTTGTCGTTCAAGATCTTGGCC